AGCCTGGGTTTTACACCTGAGAAACTACTAGGGGCTGCCAATGTGTCCTTCGGGCTCTGATACCTGGGGATGATGCAAGCAAGGCTGCGACCTGGGCCAGGCCTGAGAGCTATGGTCCAAGACTTGGGTCAATCCCTAGGGTCTGGGATGAGGAGGGGTGTGAAGTTTGGAGGAGAAGGGCAGTTTCCCTGTGGTGTCCCTAGCCCAGCCTGAGGAGGGCTGACCGACCTCTGCCAGTAAGGAGATGGACCGGGCCCCCAGCTTCACCAGAGTGGCTCAGGTCTGTGTCAATCCCTGCCCAGGCCCAGCCCCTTCATGGATCACAGCCTTGCCATGACAAACCTAGACAGCATATTAAAAAGAAGAGATATACTTTGCTGACAAAGGTCAATATAGTCAAAGCTATGGTTTCTCCAGTAGTCGTGTACAGATATGAGAGCTGGACCATAAAGAAGGCTGAGTATTGAAGGATTGATGCTTTTGAACTGTGGTGCTGGGGGAGACTCTTGAGAGTCCCTTAGACTGCAAGAACTAGTCCATCCTAAAGGAAATCAACCCTGAATACTCATTGGAAGGACTGATGCTGAAGCTGAAGCTCCAATACTTTGGCCACCTGGTGTGAATAGCTGACTCACTGGAAAAGACCCTGATGCTGGGAAGGATTGAAGGCAAAAGGAGAAGGGTGTGGCAGACATTGGGATGGTTGGATGGCATCACTGACTCAGTGGACAGGAATGTGAGCAAGCTCTGGGAGACAGTGAAGGACAGGGGAGCCTGACATGCTGTAGTCCATGGGGTTGCACAGAGCTGGGCACCACTTAGCGACTGAACCCAGGTCCTGACAGGCTCATGGTCTTTCCAGCCCACTTCTGGTCCTGCCTGTCCCCACAGAGCCCTTACTTCCAGGATGTTGCTCACAGCGTTGAGGTCTGTGCTCAGACCCTGCTCTGAGCTCCAGCGTCTGTGCTACCCGCTTCTTGCCTGTCTCCCCAGGCCCATCTGCACCAGGTCTCCCTTGGGGGGTCCCAGTGCCCACACCTCGCGGGCAGCCCACGCTGGTGGCCTTCCACACTGCTGGCTGTTAGCCTCCCATTTTCTTGTTCCATCCTCTGTCCCCTTTAAACTCTTCTGTGAAGGGGAGGAGACCGAGACGTCACAGAGGTGCAGTGGCTTGCCCAAGGGCACACAGCGCAAAGTCCAGTGGGTCTAACCCCATGCTCTTTCCTCTCCCCCACAGTGCTGACTCCGGAGATTTTGGGAGGGACAGCAAACACAGCTCCTCTCTGCTGGACCTTCTTACCCCGGGGGCTCCCAGGAGCCCACTGCAGGGAAGCACACACTGGCATCAGCCCTCCCCCGGAGGCCTTGAGCCTGCTGCCGCGCTGACCTGGGGCTCTGTTGAGCCTGGCCTGTGGGCGTTTGAACCCGCAGGGCTGCTGACCCTGGTCGCTGCCCCATAACCAGGAGGCACCCAGCCCTGCGCCCCGGGTCCGGCCACTGGAAGGAAGTTATGCCGGCTCCACCGTGGAGGGGTCTAAGTCTGTGGCTCCGGTAACGCAAACACATGACTGGGACTTAGCACCCCCAGGCTGCTAGGGCCAAGGGCTTGCCAAACCCTGGTGCTAGGCTGGGTTGGACTCTGCACCCCATCGGCAAACCACATTAAGCAGGAGGCTTAGAGGACCTGTGTTCTGGTTAACTGGACTTGCTGGATACCTTAAGGTTAACTGATAGGGTCTTTTTTATAATGCCGACTTTAAGATTTTTTTTAAACCTTACTTATGGCTGTGCTGGCTCTGTGCTTCTGCGCCTGCGTTCTCCGGTTGCTAAGGGTGGTAGCCAGTCTTTGTTTTGGCTGCAGGCCTTTCACCACCGTGGCTTCTCTTGCTGTGGAGCACAGGCCTTATTGCCCTGCAGCATGTGGACTCCTCCTGGACGGAGGATCCAACCCGTGCCCCTGCAGTGGGGGCATGGAGTCTTAACCACTGGACTGCCGGGGACGTGCCTGAGACAAATTTTACATTAAGGGCACAGAACGGTGCCTTGCAGACATAAGCAATAGCTGCTGTCACAGAAAGGGGAAATGAGGCCCCAAGGAGCAGGTTAAGTGACCTCCCAAAGGCATACTACCATTAAGCATGTCCAGACCCTTCTCTTCCTCCGACTCCCATTCGGATGCCCTTCACGCACCTGTTGTATTAGTTATCTATGGCTGCCTAATGGTATAACTGCAAATTTGGCAGCTTCAGACACATTTACTAACTCAGTTTCAGGGTTCGTGGGTCTGGGCACAGCTTGGCTGGGTTCTCTGCAAGGCTGCAAAGTGCTGGCAGACAGGGCTCATCTGAGGATCAACCGGGAAGGGTCTGCTCCCCAGCTCAGGAGGCTCTGGCAGCGTCCGGGTCCTTGCAGATCGCTTCAGTTTCTTGTTGGCTGTTGGCAGAGGCAGATTTCCCACCTCAACACAGTGACCCTGGGACTAGGGCAACTCACGCAACATGGCAGTTAGCTTTTTTAGAGCTGGTGAGACAGATGTTACAATGTTATATAGTCATGAAGATATCCTGTAGTCTCAAAACCCTCAACCCAATACCTACCTCCTATCCCCACCCCACCGTTTGGAAGCTCCAGTCAAGGATGTAAGTGAGGAGACGCGTGGTTCGGTACTGGGGGCTGTCCTGGGCACCCTGGTCCCATAGCTGGGATTCTAGCTGGTGACGTGTCAGACTGTCCCCTGCCCTACAGATCCCTCAAGGTGCTTTCCAGGGTAGATTTTTTTGACTGCAGTTTCTTCATCAGCACCATTATGAATAACAGTTCTGGATGCATTACCTGATTCTTCATCAAGGTGATTAAGGTCTAACTACAGGCTGGGCACCTGCTGGTGCTTTATGTGCCTCATCCGAGGGACACTGGGCTCAAGGAGACCATGGTCACACTTTTTTTTTTTTTTGGTGGTCAAACATTTTTACCAGGAAGACAGTCTAGATCAAAGCCCAGGTCTGTCTCCAAGACCCAAGGACTCACCTTCAGTGGTGCATGGTTCCTGTAAGGGTCTCCTCTGACTCTAAGCTTCCTCTTTCCCAGCCTCTAAGGCACTTAGAAGACGGGGAGTCACAGCAAATGGACAAAGAAGTTTACTACTCCTGAGAGTCCCTTATTGCAATTTCCGTTTCCTTACTTGTAGGACAAGAGGATCCTCAGTTCCAATTTTCTCTGTCCTTTGTTGTTGTTCAGTTGCTCAGCTGTGTCAGACTCTTTGTAACCCCATGGACTGCAGCATGCCTGGCTGCCCTGTCCTCCACTATCTCCTGGAGTTCGGTCAAACTCACGTTCACCATCCAACTACCTCCTCCTCTGTCATCCCTTAACACTGCTTACTAGTCAGAGGGGCCATTTCTATAACCAACAGTGAAAACACATCTTTCTTACAGAACCCACAGGCATGATAAACGCTGTGGCCTTTATCTTGTTTTTTGGTCTCTGTGCCTGGACACCCTTACTATTTAGGGAGCTGCTTCCATAGAGGGAGGCAGGGCTCGCCCCCCACATTTGAGGGCATGAAGCCCAGAATGTCCCAGAAGGGCAGAAAGGCTGTACTCGTAACCAGAGAAATTATTGGTTGCCTTAGGGCAACAGGGACAAATCCCCCCATTCTGGCCAACCTGTCGCTGTGGCCCCAGACTTAAGTCTGGACGTGGGTTCAGTGGTAAAAGGCAGTGTGTGTCCTGCGGAGGCATCCTGGAGGGGTTAGCAGCTATGGCGCCAAAAACATTTCCATCTCTGACATACACTGACAGGGTAGAAATATTTATTTTTTATCTTAGAAATCTGGTCCCACCAAAAGGCCAACGCTTTTTTTTTTTCAGTTCATCATCTAGAACTTTCAAAAAAGAACCCTTTCAGTTAAAGAGGTAATGGATGTCAATGAAGGCAATTTTAGAGGTGTGCTCAGATAAAATTATTTCCTATAAACCGGGAACACAGACAAGCCTGGACTTCCAGTTGCTTCAGAACTCCTTCTGTCACGTACAGTCCCCGAAGGAGAGAAGAAAGGAAGGAGTTGTCTGCAGACAAGGCACTTCAGGAAACAGCCGGGAGCGAACCCAAGTCCGCCAGGACCCACGCAGTGAGCCTGGGAGCCCAGACAGCTGCCCGCGGACGGCAGGGCTGAACCCCTCACCTCCATGAGAACAGCGGCCTCTCTGGCCCAGACGCAATCCTACCTGCTGCCAGCGCCTGCCTTGGCCCTGCCCTGCCCTCCAGGCCCTGCACACATGGAAACCAGGCCACGAAGTTGAGATGAACACCGCTCCTGAAGCTCAGAGCAGCTCCTGCGGCTGACGGTGAGGAATGCTTTCAGAGGCTCCCGCGGGGGCAGGCTGCCAGAGCATGCTTTTACAGAGACCGTGAGTTAGTGCAGATCAGCACGTTAGCAAAGCAAACATTAAAAGAATCTTAGAAAGCTGGCTAATACTCTTGGTTTCCCTCCTGACCATTTGCTCAGGCTGCAGCCTAAAAACCTGCTAGAAATCAGGAAGGACCCCCTCCTCCTGACTGGAATGGCTACAGCCAATGAGCATGGGGAAAGGCCCCCTCCAGAGGGCAGTCACATGACACCTATGACCTCCCCAGATGAGCTGATCTGAATCCAGGCAGCTCACTCAACCCCTTCTTTTGCTTTGGGGGCTTGTGTTTAATAAGAGTCATCGCGATGGAAGAGTCTCAGAGTCTCTCTCATGTCAAGAGGACAGACAGGGACAGGGATCCAGGAACTCTTCTTCCATGTTCTGGTTGCAAATTCGAATCCCAGGGAACAGTGTGACACGGGGCCAGTGTATTGCCCGACACGCCCAGTCTGTCGAAAGATCCAGGCAAGGAGGAGAGGAAAGACATGCTCCCAACAGAGGCTGGCCAGGGAGCGCCGCATTCTCCTTCCTTCAGCCCCGACGAGGCGGCTCCTTTCCAGAAGTCGTATGAGGAAGAGAGTCATGTCCAGATCAGAATTGGACCCAGCCTGCGCCTGGCTGAGTCTGGCTGGAGGTCGACCTGGAATGATAGGGAGGGGGCAGATTTTAAATGTTTGGAAATACAGAGCACAAGAGATGTAACTTCTCTCCAGGCAGAAAGAACTCCAAGAAGCCAGTCCCTGAATGTTGTTCTAGAGCAGGAGTCAGCGAACCATAACCCAGGACTAGACCAAATCGAGTTCTCTGCCTGTTTATGTAAATAAAGTTTCACACTCACTCACTTAAATACTGTGGCTATTCTGGGCTACAAGAGTGGTGAGGAGGAGCTGGGATACAGACCACCTAGCCTGCACAGTTTAAACTTTTGCTTCCTGGTCCTTGAGAGAAAATGTGTGCTGACTCCCAACCTACAGCCTGTTCACATGACAATGCTGTGTGTTTAGCATCTTTTCACCCTGACCCCTAGGTAAAGGCTTGAAATCTTAAGGAAGCAGAAAAGGCAGAGGTCCCATGAGGACGGGCCAACGCCAGAACCCTGGTGAACGCGTGGCCCAGTGTTCTGGGGTAGCTGGTGGGGAGGAGGATGTCAGAGGTACTGGTGACGAGCCGGAGCACCTGGCGAGGTGGTTTATAGGCCAGAAGGAGCTGCAGAGGGCGGCTCCAGGCCACTCAGCAGAAGGCAGCAAAAGCCTTCCCGGAGAGACGCGCCACCCCGAGTGGGCACCCTGGGGCTCCTTCCCCTCGCTGGCCTCAAAGTGTCTGGATCGGCGCTCCTGCTCCCAGTGTCGGAAGGAAGGCGCTGGGGTGATCCCAGGTTTGTAAAGTAACAGCCCTGGCCCCAGTCCCACCACAGAGAACCTGATCCTCCTCACCCTGTGGATTTGGTGAAGTCTCCCCAGACGTCGGCGGTGGCAGTGGTGGCAGGCTTGGGCTGTGGCCAGGACACAGTGGCACCTCCTATAGACGTCCCCAAGTCCGATGGGAAGGGAGGGGAGAGAAGGAGACAGAGGCGTCAGGGGCCTCCCCTTCTGGCTGCCTCAGTAACCCGGAAATCAGACTCATGATTCCAAGTTGCTGAGAAAGACATGCAGAAATGTGCTTTTTGGCAACAAAACGCCTACAGCCATTCACATCTCTGCTTCTTCTGACGAGCCCTTGAGGGGCTCCTGGAGACAGCACAGAAGGCCACACACCAGGTGGAGGGGAGGGGACCAGCGGGGGCGAGTCACACGCCATCATTCTATCTGAAGCAGACCTCGCTCCAACCATTTATGCTGCAAATCTGTTTAAAATGTACCATCTCCTGACCTCTTGGATGGAGAATGCTCACCAAAACTGCAACACTGTCTTTATATAAAGTCCTCGGGCCAGTGTCTGGCTCAACTAGCTGAGAAAATTATGTGCCAGACATGTGCCAAGTCCTAGAAGCCAAACTGTTAAGGGGCTGGGGAGTCTTCCAGAAGTACCAAGTGGGCATCTGCGTGGGTGTTGTGACCAGGTGGAGGGCACGACGGGGCGGCAGGGCATACTTTTCCAACCCCTCCCCCAGCACTGCCAGCACCCCTTCCAAAGGTCCTGTGCCCGCCACCTGCCTTCCCACCAGCTATGTCTAACATCTAATGGGCTGGAAAACCAGGTAAAACTAGGGCCCTCCAGAGTTAAATACTCAGTGAACTACAAAACTTGGGCTTCCCTGGTGGCTCAGATGGTAAAGAATCTGAGATCAAGAATCTACAGGTAAAATCCGCCTGCAATGTGGGAGACCTGGGTTCTACCCAGGGTGGGGAAGATCCCCTGGGGAAGGGCATGACAACCCACTCCAGTATTCTTGCCTGGAGAATCCCCACAGACAGAGGAGCCTGGTGGGCTACAGTCCATGGGGTCACAGAGAGTCAGACACGACTGAGCTAATAAGCACATAAGTATTTAATAGACATTATCTCGTTTGAACTGCGCCACAGTCCCTGGGGGAAAACAGGCCAGCCTGTTTGACTTTATGCAGGTTACTTAAGCCTTAGTCTCCGTATTTCTAAAATGCAGACAGTAGTGATGAACACTTTTCATAAGACTGACCGGTCTGAGGATCAAATATGTTAACAGAAGTCTTCGAACAGGCCTAGTCAACAGTGGTAATGATGCTGCTGCTGCTGCTGCTGCTAAGTCAGTTCGGTCGTGTCCGACTCTGCGCGACCCCATAGACGGCAGCCCACCAGGCTTACCTATCCCGGGGATTCTCCAGGCAAGAACACTGGAGTGGGTTGCCATTTCCTTCTCCAATGCATGAAAGTGAAAAGTGAAAGTGAAGTCGCTCAGTCATGTCCCACTCTCAGCGACCCCATGGACTGCGGCCCACCAGGCACCTCCGTCCATGGGATTTTCCAGGCAAGAGTACTGGAGTGGGGTGCCATTGCCTTCTCCGCTAATGATGCAGTGCTGCTCAAACGAGACCTAATGTTCAGGGAGCGCTTACAATGTTCTAGGCACCGTTCCACGCGCTCTATGTGGGTTGGCACATTTGATCCTCACAAGAAACCTGTACTATAGGCATCATTACTACCCCCTTCCTACAGATAAAAAAACGGAGGCACAGAGTAGCAGGCAATCTTCTGAATGTCACACAACGGTAAGCTGGATTTTGAACTCAAATCAGTCTGGTCTGGGAACATAGCAAGTGCTCATAAATGCTGGCTAATCATAACCCCAGCCGCCTGTCTGGTGTATCACGTCATACGGCCTTGGGGGCAGAGGCCTGGGGCTGTACCTGCAGTGCCATCAAGGCATCAAACACTATCTGGAGCAAAGTAGGGACTCCACGTTGGCACTAAAAATGCATCGGCCACAGACAGAACGCCTGAGACTATGGCCCTCAGACCTCAGTGAGCCACCAACAGCGTGAAGTGTGCAGGTTCCTGCCCCTGTCGCCAGGATGCCAACAAGCCCAGGGGTCCTGTGACCTCACTGTGACTCCAGAGGCCAGGCAGGCGGCCTCCCTGCTGCTCCTGGCGTTCTCTTGGGGTGAGGGGTTCCCACAGGGCTGAGGTGTGAAGCCTGACCTCCAGGTAAGCCCGACCTTTCAAAGGGAAAGCAAGCAGGCTTCTTGTCGGGACCCTCCCCCACCCCAACATGCTGGTGAGGAAAGGAGTCTGGCAACAGTCACCCAGCCCAGGGAAGGCCAAGAGCATCACACCAGCCAGGCAGGCAGGGTGGGGACACTGAGGGGCCGGGCTGGCCTCCCGGCACCTCAGCGGCTAGCACGAGGCACTGACTCCCAGAACCCCAGGTCTCCAGAGGCGCTGCTTACGACCTGGAGCGAGCGCCAGCGCAGCTGCTGAGGGAACTGCCTCGCGGCGTCCAGTGCCCAACAGCCTCGTTGAGGAGCCCGCTTTAAACTCAATCTCCAGTTTTACTTCCCACCACCCACCGTGGAACACTCGTGTGGCCTCCATCTCTGTAACACACCAATGTTTAAAAATTAAAAGTCTACATCCTGTTCATGCTCTTCTTCTGTCCGGAACACCAGTACCCCCAGCCCGATCTTTGTCCTTCAAGGCCTGGTTCAATGCCACCTCTTCCATGATGACAGCTCCCCAGACCATGCGGCTGGTAATGAGTCTGGTCCCCCTGCATTTGGTCTCTGTGCCCAGGACTCTTCTCTTCTATTATTAACAGACTGAGCATCCTGTGCCCAGAGGCCACGTCGCCATCACTCACTCACTCAACAAGCAGCCTCCAAGAACCCGGAACCCACACGCTGATGATTTCACAGCAAGTGAGTTGCAGTCCCTGCCCACTACGGCGGGCCAGACAACCTGAAGGAGAGGTGGTGGGAAAAGAGGAAGCCCTCATCCAGTGTGGGCAGGACCAGCTTTGTGGCAGCCACCCTCCAGTTCCTCACGACGGGCACTGTGACCAGTGTGGGCGAAGGAAGGAAAGCCGAGGGGCCTGCTGCCGGGGGGAGAGGAGCCTAAGTTGTGGGGCATCACCCTCGTACACTGACCTGAGCTGGGAGAAACTGCTGGCTGGACAACAGAGCCCCCCACAGACAAATGCTCCCCAGGGAGAGGGGCCAGGGCAGCAGTTCTTGCCCCTGGGGGAGGGGGAAGCAGGCTCAGTCCTCCCGTGCTGGTGGGCCGGGCGCGGGGCGTCCCAGCTGCGCCTTCCTTCTTCTTCATGCTCTAAAGAGAGGGGAAGGATAAGCATCAGTCAGTTCCACTGGATCCCACTACCAGAAAACTTCACAAGGTGACCCCGGGGCCCCAAATGTCTGCATCACCAGGACGCTGAGCAGCCATCCAAAGGGCACTTTCACTGCCGCGGACTGTGCTCAGCACATCGCGACTTGAGCGCCATCAGGAGCTCCATCCCACGCCCACCCGCGCAGCTGAGGCGGAACACTGAGCACTGACAAAGGTGTGAGGCAGCCAGGACACACATCCTCCTGGTGGACGCGAGAACGGAAACCACCTTGGAGAGCTGTTTGATTTAAAGCTGAACATATGACCTGATGCCCCTGCCATTCCACTCCTACATGGACCCAGCAGAAATACGTACACGTGGGCACCAAAGACACCATCTGAACACTGAGAGCAGCACTCCTGTAACAGCCCCAAACTGGAAGCTACCCCGATGCCCACCATGAGGTAAACTGCACAGATACTCAAGATACCTTCTCATAATGCAGCCTGCCACCACCACGAGGATAAACCGACCACACTCAGCAATATGCATGCTCTCACACATGCCAGGCTGAATAAACGAAAGGAGTCACACACAAAGGAGTATGAAGGGTATGAGTCAATCAATAAAACGTTAAAAACAGCATCAGGATAGTGCTCACTCTGTCCTGTGGAAGAGAGCAGGGGAGGGGCTTCCAGAGTGGCGAGAGCCATCCACACCTTCATCTGGGGGTGGGCTTGTGTGAGCAGATACTGATTTCTTTATTTTCGGCTGCGCTGGGTCCTCACGGCTGTCCGTGGGCTTTCTCTCAGCGTGACGGTTCTCCTCCTGCGGAGCACGGGCTCCACGGCACAGGCTCAGCAGTTGGGTGCACAGGCTTAGCTGCTCCAGAGAATCTGGGATCTTCCCAGACCACTGATAGAACCCGTATCCCCCGCAATGCAGGCAGATTCTGAACCACTAGACCACCAGGGAAGCCTATATATTTGTTTTTTAAAAATTCACTGAGTTTTGCATTTATAATGTGTGTGCTTTTCTGTATGCATATTATACCTCAATGAAACATTTAATACAGAAAAACAGAAACCTCAACACCGAGGTGAACCAGAAGTCAGAGCATCTCAAAGATGAAGATGGCGTGGTTCCCACCCTGCCAGGCAGCAGCAGCTTAATCAAATGCTGAGATCACAGACCAGAGTCAAGTGGACTGAAGCGAGTCACTCAGCCGTGTCCGACTCTTCTCGACCCCACGGACTATCCAGTCCATGGGATTCTCCAGGCCAGAATACTGGGGTGGGTAGCCCTTCCCTTCTCCAGGGGCTCTTCCCAACCCAGGAACTGAACCCAGGTCTCCCGCATTGCAGGCGGATTCTTTACCAGCTGAATACTGGGGTAGGTAGCCTAAGTCCTCCAAGCCCTGGGTATGCATACAGCTGTGCTGATTATTTCTAGCTTGACGACCCTGCACAGGACCCTCAAGCTCTCTAAACCTCCATTTCCTCTCCTAAAAGGGAGAATATTTAATCTGCATGAGAAGCACCCTAAAAACACTACCTGGCACACAGATGATGCTCATTAAATGTTAGTTTCCTCCCAGCAAGACAGAGATTCACATCCCAACCAGTCCACTGGACATGACCTGGATTTTCTCTTAAGAGACAGTTGGCCAACTTCAAGGGTCCCAAATCATCACCAGCAGGAAGCAGAAGAGAGGAGAAAGAGATAGTAAGTGAAGCGGAAGACTGTTATTTTAGGATTACAAACTGTCTTCATAAACAAATCCACTAGGTCCTTAGTTCCCCCAATCATTCAGCTCCACCCCCACAACCAGGCACAGGGCACGTCTTGCAGTCCAGCCCAGCTCAACCTCTCCCAAGATGCAGGGCCCGTCAGGACCATGACAAGGGAGCCAGGACACCACCGTCAGCAGAGCTGCCCGCGACCCGCAGTGCCCACCCGATGCTTTCTTGACCAGCAGAGTGCTGCCAATCTTTTTTTTTTTTTTTAATTTGGCTCTGCCAGGTCTTAGCTGTGGCGCGAGGAATCTTTTAGTTGCAGCATGTGGGAGCCAATTCCCTGACCAGGGACTGGACCCATGTCCCCTGCATCGGGAACGTGGGGTCTTAACTACTGGGCCACCAGGGAAGTCCCCAAAACACAACCTGGGATGAGCACACGGGCCCCCCTGCCAACAGCCAACACAGAAACATCAGCTATGGCAGCAAGCGACTGACGTTCTTCAACTCCAGAGGCTTTGCACACACCATGCCCTCTGAACCGCCCTCTGACCTCTCTTCCCTTGCTCGTAGGTTGCTTCTTCCAGGAAGGCGTCTCTGGTTCCCCCTAACTCTAGGCTGCAGGACTCCCCACCCCAGGAGTTCCCGGCACTGAAGACACCTCGGGGTCACAGACCCTTCCCGCCACGTAATCACACCCCGACTCCCTCATGTCAGCTCCATGCTGAGCTCCATGACAGCAGAGCCCTCTTGCTCGCCCCCAGTGCAGTACCTGACGTCCGGCCGCTACTCAGTAAACACGTGCTGAACCATGAGAAGAGTGGCGGCTCTAGGCTGGGCTTGGTGTGGCAGTCAAGGCTGCCGAGCAGGGGCAGCACTCACCGCAATGTTGAGCTTGATGGTCTGGCCCTCCTTGAAACTTAGGTCCAATTTGGGACCTTGATCTGGGTTTTGGGCTTGTTTTGCAAATTCACACTGTTGTTTCACCCACCTGGGGAAAGAAGAGAGAAGAGGTGAGGAAGGGGTGCGCTGCCCTGCATTCACGCCCTCACTTCAGTCCTACCTGCCGTCCGTCCAGGACGAGGCTTTTACTGCAGCCTCGGGGAAGAGACTGAGAGCAGCTTGAGAATCAGGCCTGAACACAAACCCTGGCTTTGACATGGAAGCAGCTGCAGGTTTGTCACTTTCCTCATCAGCAAAATGGGATGACGGGTCCCTATGCCTTAAAGACTGAAAATTTCACGAGGTCATTGATAGAGAGGGTCCTAACACTGGTCTTCAGGAAATCTGAGAACCTGGTCCTCTCCTCCTCAGCATGTGGCATGAAGACTAAAACACCATCCAGGGGCTTAAAAAGTAGATGGTGAGACAGGATAGACACCCAGCAAGTGGAAAGCAACAAAAAGGTCCCACACCCTCCAAAGAGCAGCCCTCCAGCAGCCACCCAGAGCAGAAAGGAGCTAGAAGCACTCACATGAGCAGCTGCACACTCCCCACAGCCAGAGATGGAGGCCTCAGATGGCAGCGGAGCAGGCTTTCCTGCCCTTTTAGCTTCAGAAAGGACTAGCAGGGTGCGTACTGAGTGGCCTGGGAATCCGAGCACTGCTTATTACAGCATGGAGGAAGAGGTCTGGAAAGGCCAAGGGAGCCGGGAAAGGACTCCGGCTGCTCAAGGGCCTTATGGGGCAGAGATGTGACACCTCAAAGGCTGGGGCAGCTGACGAGGGGGGTCAGAGATGGGCCTCAGGAAAAGGAGACCTCAAGGTAGAGATGAGGACTCGCAGAGCGCAGAGGGGACCTGTCTTAAAGGAGAAGTGAGTTCCCCTGAGACTCTGAGAGCTGACAGATCACACACAACCACCTGGGTATCCTAACCTGGGAGATCATTCTGTCCCAGGAAAGAGGGAGGAGGCATGAGTGTGTCTCCTGGAACCACTCACTTGAAATGGTCCTGCAAGGCAACATTGAAGTCAAAGGCGTCACCTCGGTCCCCGAAGCCAATTCCAATAAATGCCCGTCGCCCTGGGGGACAACACACACATCAATCCTACTTTCCAAAGGCAGAGAAAACCCTTCTCAGAAGAGGAAGCCCCAAGTCCCGAGCTTACCATTTCCATCCTCAATGCGGATAACGAAGTACCTGCTGGAATCTGTCACGCTCTCCACAGCTGTGCCAGGAAACTGATCCACTGGGGCCTGAGCAAAGAGCTCCCCTAAAAGCAGAAGTGAGGATGAGCCTTGAGTCCCTCACAGCCTATTTCTATCCCATGACTGGGGCCCTTGCCCTGCGAGGCAGATTGGCAAACGTGACTCTGGGATTCAAGTCAAACGCATTCTGGCTAAAGGCATGTAATAGGAATATAACCCATGAAAGATTTAAGTCAGAGGTGGCTTACAGGTCAGATCCAGTTCTTAGTTTAATATTTTCAATTTAACTGCCAAACACTTCAAAATCAAATTACATGTAAAATAATCCAGATTTCTGGCTTCTCTTAAAATCAAAAGCTCTAGCAATGTTGGGCTTCCACTTCCATGTGAGAATGATGGGCTGGAGCTGGTCACCATTCCGTGTCTCACCCATTCACATCCACTGCCTGTACCCTGAGCGCCCTGGTTCAGGGAGATCACACCTTCCGCATCAGTCAAGTACCTGAGGCAGGACTCGGGGGACAGGTGAACCCAGTGAAGAGGGAGGGTTTCTGCACTCTCAGAAGAACCTGAAGCAGGCTGATTTAATCTAATCACGGGCCAAAAGAGTGACTGATTTTAAAAATATCTCTTCCTTGGAGTAGGAAATGGCAACCCACTCCAGTATTCTTGCCTGGAAAATTACATGGACAGAAGAGCCTGTTGGCCTACAGTCCATGGGTTGGCATGACAGAGGGGGTTTGAGAGAGGTGGGTTGATAGCAATAAACAGGTGGAACTAAAAAAACAACAAAAAACAGCTCTTGTAAAATGCATCCCCTTATCAACTACAGTCCTCCAGGGTGTAGTGCAACATACACCTTCTGTAAGCATTTACAACTGGTATTGTTTTCAAGTGTACTGATCTCTGTTGATGAGTCAGTTATTGACCACTTTCTACTAAATCCTATGGTTCAGAGGTGACTGTGATCAAGGCTGAACTGAATCCAAATCGGTGGCCCAAGTCTGTAGCTTCTTGCTAACTCCTCTGCCTGCTCTGGTCTGGTCCCTGGGGATCCGGGATCCCCCTGGACGCCTTCAGCCTAGAGCAGTGGTTCACCACCACAGGCGACCTGGCCTCCCTTCCAGGGGCATCTGGCGATGCCTGGTGACACTGGTGGGTGCTGCTGGCATCTAGTAGGCAGCAGTCAGAGGTGTTGCTGAGCATCTTAAATATGACTTAGATCACAAAACTCAGCTGGCCCCAAATGTCACTACTGCTGAAGCTGAGACACCCTGGCCTAGAGTGATTGGAAAGTGAGGGACAAACATGACCCAGTGGGCATGACCCCAAGCTAAGAGCATCCTGGGGTGGACCCTGCAGGTGAGGCTCAGCTCTGAGCAGTGGCTGGTATACCAGCTGTGTACCTTGGTAGTAGTTCCCAGGGTCCCCAGAGAACAGGTGCTGCCATTCCCTTGTGACGCCACCTGGGACGTCCCAGCAAATCTCCCAGCCAGAGTTCTCTGGGCAGACCAGGCAGCCGTCCCTTCAAACTCCTCTGCCATCAATGCTTATTCATGCTTGAAACAAATAGGCGCTTTGGGTCACCTTGCAGTTCACAAAGCATTCAGATATCTACATGCTCATTTTGTATTCCAACAACCCCATGAAGCAGGAGCTAATGTGATCCCCATTTCACCAAAAAGGAGGCCAAGGTGTCAAACGTCATGTGGCTTGTCTAAGGTCCCACAACTCAGACACAAGAGGCAGCCAGTTTTGCTCACAAATCTTTGCATTTTATTTGCCCCACAAAGGAAAACCTCTATGGTAGAAAAAGAAGACATTACAGAACACTGGGGCATCCGACTGAGAAGCCCTGTGTCTGATTCCAGCTCTGGGGGGGGTGGGCTGGGACTGCTCCAGGCCATGTTGCCCTCCACAGCTCACCCAGAGGCGCTGGTGGCACAGTACTGCCGGAGATTTTGCCAAGGGTGACAACTGTCAGCTGACTCCAACAAAGCCCAGCTTGGCTTGTCCTCTCACCACAGAAAGAGCTGAGAAGGATAATTTCCAGTTCTTTCAGTTAATGGGTGTGGTCAGTCTGGAAAGTTACCATTTAGTCGATAAGCAGAATTCCTGATTAAGAAACCAAGCTCACAGCAGAAGTCAACGTGTGGCTTATCTTCCAAGCAAGCTCCAGGGCTTCCTACTTGGGATCCACCTGTAGGCCTTTTCTCTCTGGGCTCCCAAATTAGTATTTCCTTAAAGACGCCCAAAAGAACAGGTGCTTGACAGGAAATACTTCCTTTTAAACTAAAGGTTGGGGAATGGAGTCAGTGTACAAGTATACCCAGGCTCTGATCTCCAGGACAGGTCCCCTGATTCCCTGAGTTGCTTGGCCAGGCCCCGGCCACCCCTCCCTTCACAAAGTGGGAGGCGCGGTACCTCAGCCCCATGCAGGCCTCCCTGGCCTTTACCTGAGGTCCTGTCCTCCAGCTTGATGTAGGCCACCTGGCCTTTTGCAGTGATCCGCAGCCGGCCACTCCATGATGGCTGGTCCAGCTGCCACTCCGCAGCCCTGAAGGGACAAAAACCGTTGTGCCACTGCCAGAGGATCCTGCTCCCCTTCTCCAATGTTGGGGGTGGGGATGGGGCCAGGAAGGGAATGTGGCTGCATGCTCCAGACTGGAGGTTGGCAAACGTCTCAGGAAAAGGACCACACGATCTCTGTCTGCACTCCTCACTCACTCTGCAGTCGCAGCGGGAAAGCAGTCATGCTGCGTCAGCATGCTGGTGCTTCAGGTGTTCTAACTAAGTATTTTCTACTGAGCAGGGCTGTATTTCAGTGAAACTTTATGGACAACCTGATTTTCATATAATTTTCACATTCTGAAAAATTCTTCTTTAAAATGTTCCCCAACCATTTAAAAACGTAAAAACCATTCTGAGCTTGCTGCTGCTGCTGCTAAGCTGCTATGAGCCAACCAAAAACATATGGGTCATAGCTGGCCAACCCCAGCTTATAGATGATAAGTTCCAGATTATAGAGACCTTCTCTGAAGTAGAATTCTAGGTGTTTTTCTGTAGAGAAAGCAACTACCGGGATCCATGGTTTGCAGAAGACACTGCTAGGCTGTGGCCATCAGAGCAATCACCTGGGACCACTGAGACCATCTTGGAGGAAAAGGAGAAGGGGAGCAAGCATCAGTAGAAGAGCAAAGGAGAGCAACAGGACATGTGGGAAAAGTGAATGAGTGTTCAAGAAATCTATTCTCAAAGGTAGCCTGAGAAGAAATAAACCCAGGAAACCACAGATGTATCACAATGGCCTCTTTTGGCTCTTTTAAAGCATTGACTTTACATTTTATTTCTAAGAAGCATCTCAGTAAACCCCTGAAAAGCAAAAACCTTGGGTGTTTCCAAGAGGCTTTTCTTGGAAGTCCCTAAGCATATGCCAGGCCTTGGAGAGACATCATAACTGTGGACACAGGTTGTTTTGAAGGCCACATGAGTGCAGACTTTCGATTCACAAGTCAGCCAACTCAGTTTCAGTTCCTCTTATTAGGGCAAGAGGCCTTTAACTCAAATTAAGCAGAGCTCTGAGACTGAAGTGCAGGGGTTGGCAGTTTCCTTTTTGCGAACCTAGCCAGCCTTAACACTTGGTAACCTCGATCTCTGGGGGACCAGACTAATGCTACTGAAGGGAATGGAGGCAGATGACCATCCCTGGTTTGGTGGTGGCCCATCCCGTTTGACCACACAAAGAAAATGAGTTTTTGTTCTCACTATTGTTGCTTTCATATTATTTTTAAACTATGTCAGGGATGTAGTGGGTGTTCAATAAAATATTTGTTCACTAGAAAATCAGCTACGAGACCATGTTAACACAACTGAAAAGTAACAAGAAGCCAGAGACGTTGACACCCCGTCATTCTTGGGGTGCAGGCCAACCCTGTATCTCCAAATAACTTGGACAAACATTGCCTTCAATATCGCCCACCCTCCACCCCCACCCCCGTGTGGCACAAAATAGCCAAAGGTAGGTTATCCGTATGAGACATTATCTTATTTTCTTTTAATATTTTTCCTCATTTGACAATGAAGACAAAATGCAATGGTGACAAAATGCAAACTGTCCAGACACACGGTGAAAGGAAGTATCCTCCCAACCCCCTCTTTCCTCTGGCAGGGCAGCTTCCTGTGTTCACTTCCACACAATCTACTTTCACAAACACGCCTATTGGTTCGTCTCAGGTGAACATTTCACCAGTCAAGTGCGGATGGATGCCTCTCAACAGCCAGAGGCTGTGATCAGGACCGAGGTCCGTGCCAAGAAAGCTGGGCAGGGCAGGGCCCCTGGGCTTTCAACGTCATCTTAAAACTTCCCAGGACGGGTCCTTTGGACCGGTTCTGGGCTCCTTTCCTTCCCTCGGGGATTTCTGCCAGTGACGGGCTCCTCCCCCGCAAGTCTTTCCAAGGATCCCTTCTAGGCCGTCAGCTAACACTGAAAAAAAGGTCTGTGACACCACCACTCCCAACCACGTTTAGGGTCCCTAAGCACTATATACCGCTTTCAAGCCTTCCCCGCTGCCAGGACCCCATTCGTCGGACTGAGACATGAGAAAGTCTGGGTCCCCCTCGCTGATCCGGCCTCGACCTGAGAGAACCCGCAGCATTACCTGCGCCCGCCCCTCGCCTGTCAACCGGCCAGGCAGTCCTCTCCCACAGTGGGCGTGTAGGGATGGCCGGGGAGGGGTTGGGTCGTGACTAGCCTAGCCTGGCAGCAGGTAGTCACCTGTAACCACGGTTGGTGGCCCGCGGCGGGATGCGGTAGACGTGGACATCTGGCTTCACACAGAGAACCGACTCGTACTCCGCTTCCTCCATCTCGACGCCCCGAGCCCGCCGGACTTCCGGCTCCTTCCCCGCCCAACGGAAGTCGCGACTCTATGACTCACGTCAGGCTAGAGCGGCAGATCGCAGGCGTCAGCCGCTTGTTGCCGCGCGCCCTTTACTGGAGGCCTCGCCTCACGACCTGTGGCGGAAGAAACTAGGAGCCACCCAACAAACTGTGGGAAATTCTTAAAGAGACGGGAATACCAGACCACCTGACGTGTCTCCTGAGAAATCTGTATGCAGGTCAAGAAGTAACAGAACTGGACATGGAACAATGGACTGGTTGCAAATCGGGAGAGGAATAGTCAAGGCTGTATATTGTCTCCCTGCTTATTTAACTTGTATGCAGAGTACCTCATGCGAAATGCCGGCCTGGATGAAGCACAAGCTGGAATCAAGATTGCTGGGAGAAATATCAATAACCTCAGATATGCAGATGACACCACCCTTAAAGGCAGCAAGCGAAGAACTAAAGAGCCTCTTGGTGAAAGTGAAAGAGGAGAGTGAAAAAGTTGACTTAAAACTCAACGTTCAGAAAATGAAGATCCTGGCATCCGGTACCATCACTTCATGGCAAATAGATGGGGAAACAATGGAAGCAGTGAGCTTTATTTTCTTGGGCTCCAAAATCAATGCAGGTAGTGACCTCAGCCATGAAATTAAAAGATGCTTGCTCTTTGGAAGAAAAGCTATGACAAACTTAGACAGCATATTAAAAAACAGAGACATTACTTTGCCAACAAAAGTCCGTCTAGTCAAAGCTATGGTTTTTCAAGTAGTCGTATGGATGTGAGAGCTGGAGCATAAAGCTGAGCACTGAAGAATTGATGCTTTTGAACTGTGGTGTTAGAGAAGATTTTTGAGGGTCCTTTGGACTGCATGGAGATCAAATCAATCAATCCTAAAGGAAATTAGTCCTGAATATTCATAGAAAGGACTGATGCTGAAGCTGAAGCTCCAGTACTTTGGCTACCTGATTCAAAGAACTGACTCATTAGGAAAGACCCTGATCCTTAGAAAGATTGAGGGCTGGAGGAGAAGGGGATGACAGAGGATGAGATAGATAGTTGGATGGCATCACCAACTCAATGGACATGAGTTTGAACAAGCTCTGGGAGTTGTAATGGACAAGGAAGCCTGGCATGCTGCAGCCATGGGGTCTCAAAGAGTCGGACATCACTCATCAACTGAACTGACTGACTGACTAAGGGTGGTCTGAAGGGCTTCTGAGGTGTCACTAGTGGTAAAGAACCCACCTGCCAATTCAGGACACACAAGAGACATGGGTCCTATCCCTATATGGGGAAGATCCCACTGGAGGAGGAAATGGCAACCCATTCTTGTCAGGAGAATCCCGTGGATAGAGGAGCCTGGCGGGGTATAGTCCATTGGGTCGGAAAGAGTTGGATGTGACTGAAGTGGCTTAGCATGCACTCAGGTTATCTGATGTCTGAAGCTCCAGTACTTTGGCCACCTGATGTGAAGAGCTCACTCATTGGAAAAAGACGCTGATGCTGGGAAACACTGATGGTGGGAAAGATTGAAGGCAAAGGCAGAAGAGGGCGGCCAAGGACGAGATGGTTAGTTAGCATCATTGATTCAGTGGACCTGAATCTGAGCAAACTCTAGGAGATAGTGAAGGACAGGAAAGCCTGGCATGCTGCAGTCCATGGGGTCACAAAGAGTCAAGACATGACTTAGCGACAACAACAACAACAACAAGGGTTGTCTGGGCGCTTCCGCTTCCATAACATCTCAGAAGCTGCAGAGAAAACTTTAATACACATCACACTGCAATTCATTGTCTGGTTGTGGGTCTTCCCTGTTGCCTCGACATTTACACCTGATATCCAGTTGGCTGAGATTCAAAGCTGTAGCTACCTAGACCGCTCTCTCTGATGCCTCTCTCTCCTCCAGCCTTTGCTTCCTTCTGCTCTTCCTGAAGGTCCTGCCATCAGCCGACTCTGTAAGAAGCAACCGAGGCTTTTCCTTCTAGAGAAATCTTTACCTGCTCCACCAGCTAAATGTGATGTCCCTACTGTGCCACCCTTTTCCTAATCCACCATGTGCCCTGGGCCCCTGTAGTCTAGATTCAACAAAAGGATGTATTAAAAGGAACCAAGTTTACTAATATAAGTACTTTTCAAAGTATCCCAGTCTTAACTTGGATTTCTCTCAGAATGTTATGGGAGTTACAATGTTTGTGTGCACGCTTAGTTGTGTCCAACTCTTTGTGACCCCATAGACTGTAGCCAGGTTCCTCTGTCCATGGGATTTTCCAGGCAAGAATACTGGAGTGGGTTGCCATTTCCTCCTCCAGGGGATCTTCCCGACCCAGGTATCAAACCCGAGTCTCCCAAGTCTCCTGCACTGCAGGCAGATTCTTTACCATCGTGCCACCCTGAGTCAGATTGTCAAAATCCCTTCTCCTTCTCTACCATTCTCTCTCCCTATTTCTTTTTAAAAAAAATATTAATTTATTTTTGACTGTTCTGAGTCTCCATTGCTGCACGGGCTTTTATCTAGTCGCAGTGAGCAGCGGCTACTGTCTAGTTGTGGTGTGTACCTTCTGATTGCGGTGGCTTCTCTTGTTACGGAGCACAAGGAGCAGGTTCCAGAGCTCAGGCTCTACATCTCAGGTACAATAGTGGTGACCTGGGGGCTTAGAAGCTCGGAGGCATGAGGGATCTTCCCAGAACCCATGTCTCCTGCATTGGCAGGTGAATTCTTTACCACTGAGCCTCCAGGGAAGCCCTACCATTCTCTTATTCATTACACAGACATTTCAGTGCTTATGATGAGCCAGGTCCTCTGTGCACCACAGCTGATCCCAAATCTCTGATTCGCTGAATGCTCCTAAACTTTCTCCCCGTCCTTTTTCCCTCTCCTCTCTCCCCCCTTTTACTCACTCTGTATAAACTCTTTATTACAGGATTGATCTTCCCTCTTAAATTAAAATACATACAAGGTAGTAAAATATACATAACATAAACTTTACCATTTTAATAATTTTAAGTGTACAGAAATTAAATACATTCACCACTCTCTATTTCCAGACTTTTTCATCATCCAAAATCCTATACTCATTAAGCAATAACACCCGATTTCCTGCTACCCCCAGCCCCTGGTAATCTTTGTTCTACTGTCTGTATATGAATTTGTCTCTTCCAGATATCTCATATAAATGGAATCATACAGTATTTGTTTTTGCTTATTTCACTTATTTCATATTTTCGAGGTTCATTCGTGTCATAGCCTATGTCAGAATTTCATTCATTTTAATGACTGAATGATATTCCACTGCATGGTACAAAAAATTAATAAACAGAAAGTTCGGTTAAAAAAGAGTCAAGAGCCCAGAATGGGGAGCTCCCAGGCCCTGAAATGCTAGCCCAAAAGGAAGAAGGAAGACTCTTCTCTCCTGACAAGGACTCAGCCAGTCAAAAGCCACGGACTCTGCTCCCTCCATCCCTCCTTTCCCCAGCTTCCTTTTCCCCTCAATAAGAGAGTTCTGCTCCCCTTACCCTGAGGGGACCTGCACGTGGTTGGCCTTGGTTGCAGACCCTGAGTTGCAATTCTCTGCTGATCTCATGCAAACCCATTTTTGCTGGAGCAGTTCTGGTAACCTCATTACTTCAGGTGAACAATGGATAGACCACATTTTGTTTATCCATTCATCTACTGATGGATATTTGGGTTGTTTCCACCTTTTGGCTATTGTGAATAATGCCGCTGTGAATTATTGGTGAAGAATACCTGTTCAAGTCCTTGTTTTCCGTTCTTTTGGGCATATATCTAGAAGTGGGACTTGCTGGCCCATGCACTAATTCTAAGTGTAGCTTTTTGAGCTCTAAACTTTTCCACAGAAGCTGCATTTTACATTTCTACCAGCAAAGGTTCCAAATTTCCACATCTTCGCCAATACTTATGTTCCATTTCCTTTGATATTTGCTATCCTGGTGGGTATGAAGTTAACCTCTCTTTATGTGAATTGATTTAACATTTAATTTCAACTTTACCTTGTTTCTGTACAACAAAGAAGAGATTGAGAGATGAGATTTCTTTCTCCTAGTTCTATTTCATTTCCCTAAAGTCCTGGAGTGACAAAGACAGAAGTCCCCTTAGAATCTAGAGGGGAGAGATGCTGAGAGGTGAGGGAGGGCACCTCCTCACTCTGACAGTCTTATCCCTCACATTCTCATCATTCTGTTTCTGTGTCCACTCTCCCACTAGACTGCAAGCTTTTTGAATGCAGGACCCTGTCCCTGCCTTTCTGGACCCGCGTATTCAGCAGCACAGGGCCTGCTACAGACTAAGTGGTCAGTGAATGAAAGTACATGACTGTGTGTGTGTGTGTGTGTGTGTGTGTGTGTGTGTGTATGGGTACTCAATTGGCTATATCCCAAAGCCAAGGGGTGCTTTGGGAATGAGCCACAGTGTTTCCTTTTTCACACTCTGATTCTTTGCATCAGTATGTGCTGAACAACACCTGGGGAAAATAGGGTGTCCCAGGTATAAGGTACCTGAAGAATCTTCCATGTGGGAGAGCATCTGGGACTAACTCTTAAGAGCTAAACTTTGGGATAGCATCCACCATCAGCACCAAGTTCCATCACCATCTCCGGAAGACAAGCAGTGTGAAGGCGGCCCACAGTGGCCCCATGTGGCTGCCCCAAGTAGGACACCTTCCTCTCTGAATCTCATAGGGAATGCTCGCTTCGTGTAGCCAGGTCTTACAACATGTTCAGAGCACTTGCTCTTCAGTTCAGCCTAACAGAGATGGGCACTCAGCTACTATAGGCCAGGTGCTGGGTGCTGGGGCCACAGAGATGAGGCCCACCCAGCTTCTACCTTCATGGAGCTAACAGAGAGGAGGAGACAGAGAAAAAAGTGAATCATTTGTATTGCGGAGTGAGAAGTGTTGTGATGGAAAAAACTCACAGAGGAGTGTGGGAGTTCAGAAAAGAGACCTCACCCAGCCTGGGGGCAGTCAGGGAAGGCTCCCTGGAAGAGGTTACCTTGACACAATAATCCTTGTGAGGTAGGCGGGGCGAGGATTGTTATCCTCATTGTGTAGTGGAGTCACTGAAGCAGTGACCAGCCCAGGGAAACTACACTGTCCTCTGGCTGTGGGAGGTCAGACTGTCTTTTTCCTTATTCTCAAACCCCAGTCACATGGCTAGACACGCCTGAAAGGCATTTCTAAATGTCTATTGCCAAGAATAAGAGGGCCTACTGACTACTCCCAGGTTAACGCCATTATTTAACAGATTCAATTCAACCCAACAGCAGCGTGCAGGCTCACACAGAGCCCATCTCGTATGGGAGGAGGTGACAGCGGTGCACAACCTCGCTGTGATTCATCCGGCGGCTTTCTGGTAGGTCCGGGGCCAAGGTGGGGGCTTGAGATGAGCTGTGTTCCTGTGTGGCTTCCAGAACTATGATAGGTCACTTATCTTTACCTGATGTGTTTTTCTGCCATCATAAACATTTCCAAGAGAAATTTCCCCGTTTCTCAGATGGGGAGTGTTAGTCATTCAGTTGTGTCTGACTCTTTGCGACCCCATGGACAGACCCTGCCAAACTCCTCTGTCCGTGGGATTCTCCAGGAAAGAATATTGGAATGGGTTGCTGTTCCCTTCTCAAGGGAATCTTCCTGACCCGGAGATCAAAGCCAGGTCTCCCGCATTGCAGGCAAATTGTTTACCATCTGAGCCATGGGGAGACCACTTTAAAAGGGAACTTGGTAACAAAACAATCTTATAAAAGAATAAAGTTGGTTACCTCACACTTCCCAATTTCAATACTTAATATGACGGGACAGGAATCAAGACAGTATAGTACTGGTATAAAGATAGGCCATAGAACAATGAAATAGAATGGAAAATTCAGAAATAAACCTTCACATTTACAGCCACTTGATTGTCCCAAAGTGTGCCAAGACAATTTGATAAAGAATAATCTTTTCAACAAACAGTGTGGGAATGAGTTATCTATATTGCACACGCAAAAGAATGAAGTTGGACCCATATCTCACACCATATACAAAAATTAATTCAAAATGGCTCATAGACCCAAATGTGTGAGCTAAACCATATAACTCTTAGAAGAAAACATAGACAAATCTTTATGATCTTGGATTTATGTTATAATAAAAAGAGTCTAATAGATTCTTAGATATGACACTAAGAGCACAGGCAACAAAAGAGAAAAGTAGGTAAATGAAACTTAAGAATTCTTATTCTTCAAAGGACAACAAAAGTGAAAGCACAATTCACATAATTTGAGAACAATGTTGCAAATTATGTATCTGACAAAGGACTTGCACCTAGATTATATAGAGAGTTCTTACCATTCGATAATAAAAAGACAAATAACCCAATTTATAAATGGACAATGAACCTGAATAGACATTTTCCCAAAAAATATACATAAATAACCAATAAGTACATGAAAAGGTGACCAACATCATTAGCCATCAGGGGAATGCAAATCAAAATCACAATAAGATACTGCTTTTTACCCGCACCCACTAGAGTGGCCAGAATAAAGCACACACACAGCAAGTGTTGGTAAGGGTGTGGGAGACTGGAGCCCTCAGACATCTTACATTTTGGGGAACGTAAGATGATGCAGGCACTTTGGAAAACAGCATGGCAGTTACTCCAGGGGCTAAACATAGAGTTACCACATGACCCAGAAATTCCATTTCTAGGTATACACCCAAGAGAAATGAAAACATATTTTCACACAAAAAGTTGGTACACAAATGTTCATAGCATTATTAATAATAGCTAAAAAGGGGAAAGAACTCAAATGTCTGTCAACTGATAAATGGAGACATAAAAGGGGAAATTCCTTGGTGGCCTAGTGGTTAGCATTCCCAGCTCTCACTGCTGCGGCCCAGGTCCAATCCCTGGCTGGGGAACTAAGACCCTGCAAACTGCATCACACTGCCAAAAAAAAAGAAAAAAGGAATGAAGGGCTGATCCAACCCACAAATCAGATGAACCCTGGGAACATCTGCTAAGCCAAAGAAGCCAGTCACTCAGGACCACATATTGTATATATGTTAGTCGTCAGTCATGTCCGACTCCACGCAACCCCATGGACTATAGGCTGCCAGCTTCTCTATCAGTGGAATTCTCCAGGCAAGAATACTGGAGCGGGTTGCCATTCCCTCCTCCATGGGATCCTCTTCATCCAGGGAGCGAACCCAGGTCTCCTGCATTACAGGCAGATTCTTTACCTTCTGAGCCACCACGGAAGTGTGATTCCATTTAAATGAAATGTCCAGAATAGCCAAGACTACAGAGACAGAAAGTAGATTAGTGATTGTCTAGGGCTGGGGGTGGGTTGGGGGGATTGAGGTGATGACTAAGGGGTGTGGGCTTTCTTTTGGGGGTGATGAACAGTGTTGTAAAATTGGAGTGAGGATTGTCCAATTCTGTGAATATACTAAAAGTCACTGAATTGTACACTTTAAGTGGCTGAGTGGTGCGATGTGTGAATTAAATCTCAATAAAACTGAGCAAGAAAGTGCCCCTAAAGGGGGACAGAGTGTACTGGGCACCCCCCAATTCTATCCTCAGATACATGCTCTCCTGCTGGGGGCGGGGCTTCCTCTTCTCGTCCAGATTCTCAGGGAAGTTGTAAGCCCCAGACGGGGGACAGAGAGGGGGCTGGATTCCCTCTGGAGCCGCTACCCCCTCGAAACTCAGCCTGTGGAATATTGGAGCCTGAGGATTCTGAGGCTGAGCCTGTGCTTTCTGACTGGAGACAGTGGACAATGGAGGGTGTGTGTGAGGGGTGTGGAAGGGGGCCAGGTTTCTCCCAGATGGGTCATCTGCGTGTGGGGCAGGAAGGCTCAGAGCAAAGGGGACGGCCTAGGGGGCCTAAGGGGAGAGAAGGGAGGGACCCCAGGGGGAGAGAGGGGCTCGGCCACGGTGCTGACTCCTCTGTGCCCAGTGAGAGTCTACGTCTTCAGGGCAGACTGGAGCTGCGCCCGTAGTGGGGTCCCCTGGTGCGGGGGTCTTGTTTGCATTGTGGGGATGGTGGGACTGGAGGGGAGGCATGGTGGGGAGGAAAGGAGAAGGGAGGGGTGCTGTGAAGGGCATGTCCCCTGAGCCCCCGGTGAGAGCCACTGGGACCCCCAGTGTGCTCCCAAAGCCTGATGTTGTGCCAGGCATGGGTATGGCTGGCACACAATTGATGGCTATGCAGGTGAGTGAGGGAATGAATTGAGCTTCTTTGGAGGCAAGATGATATGGTGAGATAAGCAGTCCTAGGAGTCACACAGGCCTCAGTTTGAAACTGGTTCCTCTGCAGATTTGGTGTGTAGTATTGGACAAGGCACTGGGCCACCCTGAACCTCAGTTTAAAACAGGGTTGAACCCACTGACCTCGAGGACGGGGTGGTTAGAATATCAGTGACGAACATGCCCAGCAAACAGAAGGTTCCTCTGTGGGTGCTGGTGGTCTGTCAGGATTTAAAGTGGGAGAAGCACCATCAAGATTCTCAAGGTGTCACTGGGTGGGTAGGATTTACCCCTAGAAATAAGTGAACAGTGAAAAGAGGTTTCCGTGGCATTTCCCTAGAAATGATACTGATGTTGCAGCAAAAGAATTCAAAGGCCGGAGACAGGGCTGAGGTGGTTGGAAGCTTGGAGAAAAGGCAGGAGCTTGAAGGACAGAATTGGGGGGGGGGAGGTTGTGGGAGAGACAGAGAAGTGGGAAATGGGCACAGAGGCTGGCTTGGGTGGGCAGGGGGCCGGGGGGAGTCTGTGGGATTAGGATTGTACGAGGTAGCCCAGATCAAAAGAGAATGCTTGTGTAGGGGATGGTGGTACAGCCAAATCAGAGGCTGGATGGAAAAGGCAGAAGGGGAGACACGAAGGAAAGCTGTAGAAAGGGATATGTCCAGGGCAGGGATGGGGAGATTTGGCAAACCCCCTAGTGCCACTGGAGACTTTAGGGCCCCACACAGATGTTGCGCACTCCTTATTCCTTTAGCCCCGGGAGGAACAGATTTTTCCTCTACAGCACTAGCAGGAACAACCATGACACACTCGTGCTCTCTTTAAAGTGCACATTTAGTATATTAAAGACTCTGAGAAATCCTGCAAAAAGAACCTATTTCATTAAAAATATATTTACTTACTTGGCTGCCTGGGGTCGTAGTGGGATCCTCACTGTGGCCCGTGGACTCTCTAGTTGCGGCAAACGCGGGCTCAGTAGTTGTGGTTTGCAGGCTTAGTCACCCTGCGGCATGTGGGACCCTTGTTCACCAGCCGGGGTCGAACCTGCCTCACTCACACTACAAGATGGATCCTTAACCACTGGACTGCCAGGGAAGCCCCAGTCGCTTTCATTTTAACTCAGGACTTTCCAGACACATTTGACCTCAGAACTTTTTTGTGGTGCCCCTCAAGGAGCCAGTATTCTGGAGAACACTTGTTAGGAAATGCTGCTCTAGAGAAAAGTGTGTGGGTTTGGGGACCTAACAGGCCACGGTTCGATTCCTGCTCTGTGACCTGTCTGGTGTTAGACCTCAGGCAAGTCACTTTGTTTCCCAGAGCTTCCTTTTTACCTAGAGTCATTTCGAGAACTGGGGAAACGACACGGGTAACACACGCGGGGAGGTCCCTGGTCTGACCGTGTGCCCCTGTTCTGGCAGGCCTGGCCCTACTTCTTCCCCTAAGCCGGGCCCTCTCCATCACAGACTCCACGTGGGCTGCTGAAGGGGCAGCTCGGTGATGGGCTTGGTGGGACTTTGACTCGATTTCTTTTCTGGGAACACAGCGTTTGATGCTCCTCAGTTGGTACCCTCACTGGCCCTGGCACGATGGACAACGGGAATGCCCAGATGTACGTGGAGGATAGGACAGAGGCACCAGGGGCCCAGCCAAGTCCTGGCCTGAGGACTGCCAGCAACAGGGCTGGTGAGCCCACCATATCAGAAGTCAGCCAGGTAGGGACCTGCCTCTCCACCCACAGCAGGCACTTTCCCTTCCCTTGCCCAGGTTTTCCCTCCAACTTCTTTAATTAAGCTTCTGTAACAACTGGCACAAAACTCATTTCAAATTGGACTAGGCAGGAATGAGAACACAGCTGGGTAACTGACAGATCTGCCTGTAGGCTTCAGGTATGGCTTGGATAAAGGTACTAAATGAGTGTCTCGGCTCTGCCTACCTCTGTGGCATTCCCAAGCACGCTCTCCCTGCAAAACGGTAAGAAGTGCCCTGGCCACTCCAGACTTACACCTTCCCATCGTACTTCCTCTGGTTTAACATCCCAAACAAGAGGAGAGCCCCTTTGCAATAGCCGAAGAAAGTCTCCGGTATCAGTGTCACTGACCAGGTTGTAGTCACATATTTATCCCTGAATCAGTCACCATGGCAGGGCAGAGTGGCCTGGATCTCTTTGTATAATGAACTCAGTGCGGGTACTCTCGAAAGGAGGCAGGAAGGCTCCCATAAAAGAATGTTGGCTTCTGTTACCAAAAGAGATGCTGGCTGGTTGAGGAAAACAAGAATTGTTTACTTACTCTACTAAGTAGAAAGCTTTCCATGGCCCTTACCCTCTGCCTCCCCCATAACCTTTATTCCCCTGACAGCTACTCAGAATTTCCATCCATGATCTCTGCGCCTTCCTTTCTGTGTCCCTGAGCTAAAAATGTCACCATAAAAAGGGGCAACACTTCTTTGGATTAAGTATAGCCCTCTAACTATAGCCTCTGTTATAAATCATGGCTTCTGTGGGCCCAGGAAGAGGGCCTGAAATGAGTCTTGGAAGGAGCCTGGGGCAAACATTCGGGGCTTCCGTTACCTGCCCGTTTGTTTTTCCCATGAGCATAGTCATGGGAGCTCAGTGCCGCCACTTAACCAGCTGTATGATCTTGGGCTTGGCACTGTAGCTTCATGGACTCCTGTGTGTCATGCTGAGGATTAACTGGGTTGAATCCCTGGGGACACTTGGCCCTGCCCCTGCCCCTGCCCCTTGGTTGATGCCCTTAGTGTTGATCCCCAGAGGAATCATGTGTTATAACAACTACTATCAATTGATTGAGCCAAGTTGCCTGGAGTTTGCTGACTCAGGTAAGGCTTGGAGCTCCCTCGGAGTCGCTGGCTCAAGGCCACCCAACTAGGAAGTGATAGACATCAAAACCCAGAGGAAACTGAGGAAGCCTCCCTTGGACCTTGCGAGGGTCTCTCTCTTTTTTTCTTGGCTGCTCCTTATGGCTTTCGGGATCTTAGTTCCCTGAGCAGGGATTGAACCTGAGCCCTTGCCATGGAAGCTCCGAGTCTTAACCACTGGACCGCCGGGGAAGTTCCCCCAGGTGCTCCTTCGAGCTCTCCTTGTCAGGTCGCGGTGACCAAGGTACCGCTAGGGCTCCAGTTTCCTGTGGCGCCCTCGGTGCTGACTGGGCCCCTCCCGGCCTCTTGTCTCCTCCCCGCCTTCTCAGCGCCTCTCCGGTGAGGCGCGAGGTCTGCCCTCCCGCGAGGCGTGGGGTCTCCCTTCATGTGAGGTGCAGGGTCTCGTCTCCCCCGTGAGGGACGGACTCTCCCTCCCGTGAGGGACGGGGTCTCCTCCCCAGTGAGGCGCGGGGTCTCCCCTCCCGTGAGGCGCGGGGTCTCCCCTCCACTGAGGCGCGGGGCGTCTCCCCTCATGTGAGGCGCGGGGTCTCCTCCCCCGTGAGGAACAAATTCTCCTTCTCCGTGAGGCGCTGGGTCTCCCTTCATGTGAGGCGCAGAGTCTCTTCTCCCCTGTGAGAGACGGACTCTCCCTCCCGTGAGGGACGGGGTCTCCTCCCCAGTGAGGCGCGGGGTCTCCCCTCCCGTGAGGCGCGGGGTCTCCCCTCCACTGAGGCGCGGGGCGTCTCCCCTCATGTGAGGCGCGGGGTCTCCCTTCCCGTGAGGCGCGGGGTCTCCCCTCCCGTGAGGCGCGGGGTCTCCTCCCCCGTGAGGAACAAATTCTCCTTCTCCGTGAGGCGCTGGGTCTCCCTTCATGTGAGGCGCAGAGTCTCTTCTCCCCTGTGAGAGACGGACTCTCCCTCCCGTGAGGGACGGGGTCTCCTCCCCAGTGAGGCGCGGGGTCTCCCCTCCCGTGAGGCGCGGGGTCTCCCCTCCACTGAGGCGCGGGGCGTCTCCCCTCATGTGAGGCGCGGGGTCTCCCTTCCCGTGAGGCGCGGGGTCTCCCCTCCCGTGAGGCGCGGGGTCTCCTCCCCCGTGAGGAACAAATTCTCCTTCTCCGTGAGGCGCTGGGTCTCCCTTCATGTGAGGCGCAGAGTCTCTTCTCCCCTGTGAGAGACGGACTCTCCCTCCCGTGAGGGACGGGGTCTCCTCCCCAGTGAAGCGCGGGGTCTCCCCTCCCGTGAGGCGTGGGGTCGCCTCTCCCCTGAGGCGCGGGGTTTCCCCTCCCGGGAGGCCAGGATGAGCCCAGGGAGTGGCAGGATCCCTCCAGAGTGGCCCGTTCCTTGAGCCGGGGCCGTGGGCATCTTTGTTCTAGGCTGTGTTTCCAGATGCTGAAGCGATGGACAGTGGCCCGCAGCCCTCACCAGCCCTGGGCGGGCCGGAGACCGGGCCCGGACACAGAGCCGCGTCAGAGGAGGGGTTTCTGCAGCTCAGTCCCCAGGAGCAGAAGCCTCCGGCAGGACCAGGGTGAGCTGGGGGCTTCCCAGAGAGCAGGTCCAGGAGAGAAGCCCCCTGTGGCCCACCCGGTGGGGAGGGAGAGGGGCGGGAACCCCAGACTAAGGGGGGTCTGCCCACTCACCCCTCCTGTACTTTTTTTTCATAGTGCGACTCACACTGAATAATTATGTCTGCCGGTCTTTTGTCTGAGCTCCCCAACTAGGCCACAAGTTTCTGTGACGTGTCGTGTTCAAGGGGCATTATGTGTCTTGTTTAACCTCAAAAATCCCTCAGGGAATACGTATTGCCCCTCTAGTATATGCTTCGGACTGTGTTTAAAAAACTGCTTTTAACCTGATGTATTTCTAGAAATATGCCCTAAGGAAAGAAGTGAAGATTCAGGCAAAGTTTTATGTGCAAAGATTTCTCCTGGCACCTTATTTTAAAGGCTAAAAAAATTTAAAATGTCAGTGTGCGCTGTTGTTGTTGTTTAGTTACTCATTCCTGTCTGACCCTTTGTGACCCCACAGACTGTAGCTTGGCAGGCTCCTTTGTCCATGGAATTCTCCAGGCAAGAATATTGGAGTGGTTTGCTGTTGCCTTCTCCAGGGAATCTTCCCAACCCAGAAATAGAACCTGCACTGGCAGGCGGATTCTGCCGCTGGGCCACCAGGGAAATCCCCAGTGTGTGCTAAATGCCCACAATAGGGGGATGGTTAAGTAAATTATGATTATCTATAAAATAGAGAATTTTATGCTTTCATTAAAAAACATGTTTATGAAAGATTTTGGGCATGGGAAAAATTTAGATTATACTGTTAATTGAAAAAATTGTATTTGCAATATAACTTTATGCAATTATTTGAAGGTGATATTTAAACTAATCCCCATCAAAAATATGTATGTATGTCCTTAAGGAAGAAACCTGGAGGAAATACTCTTTAATATTATAGTGAGATCAGGGCGACACAGATTCAAATCCAGACCTGTCAACTTTAGCTTAATGATCCAAGGCTTAAGTCTGCCCACCACTATGAATTCCAGTTCTCCTTGATTTTTCTTTTTTTCTAAAAAGCAATAAGTAATAATGAAAATATTAAATCCTAATCCTCTTAAACATTGACATCAAAGTGTTTGTGGTTGGAGGAATTCATGTTAGTCCTTCATTCTTTCTCCCGGGCATTAAGCATGCACCTATGGTGTGCCTAGCCCTGTGTGGGTACCACAAAGAGGTATAAGAATATAAAACCCTACCTCAGTTTGGGAGCTGAAGTATCCCTTTGTCTGTTCTCTCCAGGATGAAGGTGCCATCTTGGGTCCCCCAGGAAGGGCCCAGGGAGCTGCAAGCAGACCGGGATCCGCCCACGCCAGGAAGTGAGCTGGGGGTGCCCCCCAACAGGGCCCCTGCAACACAGGAAGGGCTGCTGCAGCAGGGCTCAGGAAAAGAGACTGAGGACCAACAGGGAAGCCAGCGGAACCCAGGGCCAGTGGAGGGTCAGGGCCCTGAGAGTCACCAGGTAATGTCCACAGAATCCCAGGCAGGAAGGGATGGAATTGCTGACCCGCAGGGGAGGTGAGGGAGCAGGGAATTGTTAGAGGCAGGGAGGAGATGGGGCTTCTGGGTAAAATTGAAAACGGGACATGCTGGGTTTAACAAAGCCCAATTTTTTTTTTTCTTATGCTAGAATGTTCTAGCAGCTGTTTTTTAGCTGCTGAGCTCTGTGGGACCCTTCAAGAGGTGGTTACAGTATGGCACCTTTCCCAAACGTATTTGACTATAAAATATCTTATTTTTTATTTTAAGGTTTATGGATTTTTTTTTTTAAACAGCTTCATAAGGTACAATTGATACACAGTTGTGCATGCTTCAAGTGTACGATTTATTGTTCTGGATACATGTGTATACCCACAAAACCATCACTGCAATCAAGAAAATAAACATATCTGTCATTCCCCCCCAAAAAAGTTTTCTGTGCCCCTTTGTCATCGCTTCTACCATTCATTCCAAGCCCCAGGCAACCACTGATCTGTGTTCTGCAGCTGTGAATTTGTATTTTCCAGAATTTTCCATAAAAGGAAGCATAAGTACCCATTCTTTTTGTCTTGCTTCTTTCACTTAGCATGAATATTTTGAGATTCAGCTATATTATTGTGTAGATCAATACTTTATTCTTTTTGCTGCTGAGTATTATTCCATTGTATGGATGGGTCACAATTTCTTGTCCTACTTTATAGCACAGGGAACTATGTTCAATATCTTGTGATAAACCACAATGGAAAAGAATATGAAAAAGTGTGTTTATATATATATATCATTGAATCACTTTGCTGTTCTGTGGAAATTAACAAATAAAACCTGATTTCTTCATTCTTTCACCTATTGATGAACACTTGGTTTGTTTCAACTTTTCAACTATTACAAATAAGACTTATAGAAACATTCATGTCTGTGTGTACAGATACTTTCATTTCTTTTGGGCAAATAAATGCCTAGGAGTACAATGAATCATATGGTATCTGTATGTTTAATTTATTAAGAAACTGCCAAACTTTTCTCCAAAGTGGTTGTACCATTTTACATCCCCATCAGCAATGTATGAGAATTCCACTTGTTCCATATCTTCCCCCATACTTGGTATGGTCTGTTTTTAATTCTAAGCATTCTAGTAAGTGTGTAGTGGAATCTTATTGTGATCTTTATTTTCTTTTCCAAATGACTAAACATGTCAAGCATCTTTTCATGTGTTTATAGGCACATATTATGTATCTTTGGAGAAATGTCTATTCAAATACTTTGTGCATCATTTTAATTGAATAGTCAACTGTCTTTTCCATTCTCTCAATGGTGACTTTCAAAGAACCGAAGTCTTAATTTTGATAAAGTCTATTTGATCATTTTTTTCTTTATGGCTGTGCTTTGGGTGTTATTTCTTAGAAATCTTTACTTAACCTGAAGTCACATAGGATTTTATCCTGTGTTTTCTCCAGGAAGTTTTATTATTTTAGGTTTAACACTTAGGTTTATGATCCAGCTTGAGTTAATTTCTGTATGTGGTCTGAGTGTTGGATTGAGGCTCATTTCTTGCATATGGCTGTCCAGTCATCCCAGCACCGTTTGTTGGAGACTCTCCTTTCTCCTGAGCTTCCCTGGTAGCTCAGATGGTAAAGAATCTGCCTGCAATACAGGAGACCTGGGTTCGATCCCTGGGTTGGGAAGATCCCCTGGAGAAGAGAAAGGCTACCCACTCCAGTATTCTGGCCTGGAGAATTCCATGGATTGTATAGTCAATGGGGACGCAAAGAGTCAGACACGACTGAGCGACTTTCACTTTGACTTTCCCCAACCAGGGATTGAGCCCATGCCCCTTGCAGTGGAAGCATGGAGTCTTAACCCCTGGACCACCAGGGAAGTCCCACACATTGTCTTGACTATAGCAACTTATTAAAGTCTTGAAATCAGTTAATGTAAAAATCTCCTTTGTGGGGAGTACCATGAAGGATTCTTGTTCATTGAAACACCCCTTGAGAAATCCGATTTAAAGAGGATTGTGTCAGACACTCCCCTGGTGGTCCGGGGGTTAAGACTCTGCACTTCCATTGCAGGGGTTATGGGTTAGATTCCTGGTCTGGGAACTAAGATCTCACATGCCATGCAGTGTGGCAAATAAATAAATAAAATGGAAAGAGGATCGCCTCACTTTCCCCAGGCTCCCATTCTACATGCACAGAGAAGCGTGGATTATGACTTTGGGTAAGCCATGCCTCCTCTGGACCTTGGTTTCCTCATCCCTCGCAATGGCGTAATTGACCCCTGCTTAGGGAACCTTCTAGGTGAGCTGGGAGAGTTCAGTAAGGTGATCTTTGCAGTGCTCGGACCAGAGTAACTGTTTGTCAGCTGGTCTCTGGGTGAGTGTTGGGGGCCACCTGAGAGCCGGGATGGGGCTCCCCATCTTGATGTCTTTGCTCTTGGCAGGACCCAGAGGGTCAGCCCATCCCAGGGCACCTGGCAGCCAATGAGTCAGACACAGTGCAGCCGACAGAGCCTTATTGCACCTTGGACAGCTCTGAACAGCAACTGGGGGACAAGCTCCCCAAGGAGGTGGACACCCCACCCATCGGGCCACAGGGGGCTCTGCCAGAGCCTGGCCCAGGGGGACATGAGGACCGTTCCCAGGAAGCAGAGTCCTTAATGCCTACGGCAGCTCTGGAGGGAAAGACAGCTCACACTGCCCCACCACCCACGCCACGACCCGACACACCCAAAGCAAGGTAAGGCACCCCACCCCTCCCTGACCCCAACAAAACTGCTCTTCTGCTAGTCCCAGAGCAGGTGACTTCCAGTCCTGACAGCTCCTGATGTGATGGAAGACCTTGGTCAAACCGTGCCCCCCGAACCCCTGCTTCCCCATCTATATAGTAGCTCTAGTACATAATTCTTTACCCCATGGACCATTCTTCACCGGCGAAGTCCCCACAAGGGACGTGGAAGAATGAGGAGCCCCTCTGAGAGCAGAAGCCCAGGGGGTGAAACTGCAGCGGTGGATCTGAGTGTCCTGGAGCTGAGAGAAGGCCTTGCCAGGGCGAGCCTTGAGCTGCAACCCCCCTCACCTAGGGGTTCTCCCTTGTTTAGAGACGAGGCTGTGGAGATCCAGCCAGCACCGGGGCCTGCTCGTCCACCTGTAAGTAGAACCACAGTGGGGAAGGGAACAGGGCTGGGGGAGATCAGGACAAAAACGAAAGAGGCAGAAATGGGGCAGTATTCACAGTCAAACTGGGGAAGGTGTGAGTCTGTGCCTGCGTGTTTCCATGGGTGTGCACACGTGTGTGCATCTTGGTTCCGGGTCAAGGCTGCTCTTATACTCTGGAGCCCGCGAATTCACCCCAGGCCACAGTGGTTTTTTCCACATTGGCACGGATTTCTGCCGGCCACCTGATCAGTCACAGCACACAACCCAAAGCTTCCCTGAATGCCTGGGAGACTCCCATCCCCTCCCAGTCATCCCCACCTCCAACAGCTCTCTCAGTTCCTAGTTCTTTAATTTGATTGGGCAACCTGTGAACACTCAGTCATCATCTGCCTGGTGGAAAGGTAGGTTGGAGAAAGAGGAATCAAAAGAGCTTTTAGGAAGTATAATTTATAAAAATATTGAACCACTATGTTGTACACTTGAAACTAATACCGTAAATTGACTTTGAAAGTGAAAGTGTTAGTCATTCCGTTGTGTATGACTCTTTGTAACCCTTGACTGTAGGCTGTCAGGCTCTTCTGTCCATGAAATTCTCTAGGCTAGAATCCTGGAGTGGATTCCCTTCTTCAGGGGATATTCCTGACCCAGGGATCTAACCTGGGTCTCCTGCCTTGCAGGCAGATTCTTTACGATCTAAGCCCAGATAATTTTTTTTTTTTTAAGAGAGGCTTTCAGCCTGGGGCCCAAGTGACACTAGTGAAGGAGAAGACAGAAAGAACTTGAGGTTCTGCTTTGGTCATGTTCTGGACAAACAGGAAGAAATACCAGGCGTATGTCTGGAGTTAGGAAGGAAAGAGAGGTCAGGATGCGGGATGTAAATATGAGGAAAACAGGGCTACACACTAGGAGAGTGTACGGAGCAGGAAGGCATCTGAGGACAGACCTCTGGTCTCCAGCACATTCAGAAATGGAGGGACTTCTCTCGTGGTCCAGTGGTTAAGATTCTGTGCTTCCAATGCAGGGCACATGGGTTCAATCTCTGGTCGGGGGAGTGTTCCGCATGCCATGTGGCACGGTCCCCCAAAAGAAAACAAAAACAAACAAAACCAACAGAAATGGATCGAGAGTGAGGAAGAGTCAGTGAAGGAGGCTGCGGAACACTCAGGGAGGGAGCCAGCCTTGAGGAGGGTGGGGGTCCGGAGAGGAAAGCCCTCCCAGAGGGACAGAGTGGACATGCGTGTCTAGCGTCGCTGAGGGCTCGGCTCTGAGGAGAGAGAGCTGATTACCGCCCTGCAGGAGTCTGGCTGGGGAGCAGGGCCAGACGCCAGCCTGGAGATGGGAGGAAAGCAGAGACAGGCGCAGCCAATCTTTCAGGGCATTCTGCTGTAAAGGAAGGGTACTGAAAGGCTTTGCAGTGTGGGGGTTTTTCCTGTCTGTCTCTTGGCTGAAGCGCATGGACTAGTCCAGGTGCAGAGCACAGGCCGAGGGAACACAGAGCCGCCTGGGCTGTGCAGTCGTGTCCACTGGCTCAGCTGTCCCACAGCATGTGGGGTCTCAGTTCCCCAGCCAGGAACTGAACCCGTGTCCCCTGTATTGGAAGGCAGATTCTTTTTTTATTTATTTTTTATTGGAAAGCGGATTCCTAACCACTGGACCACCAAGGAAGCCCTGAGAGTTTTTCTTTTAAAGAAGGAAGATAAGGGACTCTCTGGTCCTGTGGTTAAGACACCAGGCTCCTCATGCAGGGGACACCGGTTCAATCCTTAGTCGGGAGCTCAGATCCCACATGCCACATGGCGCAGCTTAAAACCTTAAAGTAATAATAATTAGAAAATTTTAAATTAAAGAAGGAAAATAACATAGCGTGTTTACATGCTAACGGGCGTAATCTGGCAGAGAGGGCAGTGCTGATACTTTAGGTCAAGCAGGTGTTGGTAACAGCTCCATCTTTGAACAGAAGAAAGGGCTGGGCTGGAGCCTGCGTGGGGCGGCCTGGGTGGAGGCGGGTAGGGGGACAGCTCACCCCTCTCTGGGAGAGACAGAGGTAAGAGGTGCTAGATTTGCTGAAAACATGGATGGGAATCGCCTGCCAAGTGGGAGTAGGCAGCTGTATTGATAGAATCAAAGAGGCAGGTGCGGTCCTGCCCTCAGGGAGCATGCTTCCAGGGAGGGCAAGCTGTGAGCTGGACAGGCTGCGCTATGTGCACAGGAGGAAAGAAACAGGGATGAATTGGGGAGTTGCTCACTCAAGAGCACGGCTCGGAGAGCTGGGAGGGGGCCCAGGTCGGGTGTCGAGGAGGACGTGGGGAAGGGGTCTAGAGGATGCCGGAGAGAAACGGGCTCCCAGGGACCCAGAGGAGAAGGAGAGTCTGAGGCCCTGGGGCGGGTGGTGGCGAGCAACTCACAGGACCGTCCGGCTGGCCGGAGGCCTCCTGCATCGCCTGCCCGTCCTGTCCCCAGGAGGTGGTGGACACGGGAGCGAGGGAGCTGGACCCCACGCAGAAGCAGTTTCTGGAGCCCGCGGCGGCCCCAGGCGCCCAGGACCCCGGCTTCGCCCGGCCTGGCTTCATGAGGCGCCTGCTGGAGGTGGAGGAGGAGGAGGCCGCGCTTCGGAGGGCCGCCAAGGCCCGCGCCCTGCCAGGCCGGAGGTGCCCCCGGGCCCTGGGCCCCGTGCCCGCCCCTGCCCTCAGCCTGCCTCTGACACTGCCTGCAGCCTCGGCCCCGGCCCCTGCCTCCGCCCCGGCCTGGGCCCGGCCGCCCGCCCCTGCGCCAGTCCCCGCCCCCGCGGGGACCCCGGTCCCAGCTCCTGGGCCCGCTGCAGTCCTGCCAGTGCCCGCGTCGGATCTGGCCTGGAGAAGGACAGAACTTCTGAGCCACAGCGGGGAGAGGAGCCTGAAGGCACGGTAGGAGCCACCCCAGAAAGTGTCGGGATCCGAGCGCGGCCCCAGGGCCCCCGCATCCCCTCCAGACTCTCGTCCAGGCGTCGCCCCCGTCTGCCCTCCTGTGTCCCCTCCACGTGCCCTGCCTCTCCCGGCTCTCTATCTCTCACACTGAAGCCCCTTCCTTATCGCCAACCCTGCTTCTCTTTCTAGCCCGTCTAGACGCCCCTCACCTCTGCCTCGCTCCCGCGGGCCGCTCACAGATTCCTGTGACCTCCCAAAGCCTCCCCAGGGCCCCTCCTGTGACCCCCTGCCCCGGCTGCGCCCTCGCCCCACCAGCGCCCGGGGTGCGGGGCGGGGTGGGCAGCCGGATGTGCCCTGCGCCCGGCCTTGTCCTCCGCAGGCAGGAGCTGGAGGAGCGCCGCCTCCTGACGGCGTGTCAGACCCGGGAGGAGCAGGCGGAGGAGCACCTCACCACGAAGCAGGAGGACGGTGAGGGCGGGCCGTGCGGGTGTGGCGGGCGGGCCGGCGGATCACGCCGCTGCCCTAGGCCGTCCCAGCCTGCGCTGGGCTGGCCGAGCGGCGCAGGGCAGGAGGCTGACCTGAGCCCTCTTCCCTCTTCCAGAGTGGCCTCTGAACAAACGGAGCAACTTGTTTTTGGAGGTGTTTCTGCCTCCTCCAGCACAAGCCCACTGTAGGTCCCCTGGAGAGGCCACCAGGGCTGGAGGCAAGACTCCAGCGCCCCTTCCTGTGCTAGACCACCCCTTACCCTTTAACAGGACCGCCTGCCCTGAACACGTTCCTGACCAACATTTGGTCTGCGCATGCGCTGGACAGCCCAGCTACTGACACTGGGCTGCTGTCAAGGAAAGGAGTGTTTACTGCAGGCGCCAAGCTAGGAGTCCAGGCAGCTTAAAAGGCCCAAATTCCCACGGCTTTCAGGAAAGCTGTTTAAGGACAGTGAGGGAGCGGGTCCCAGGGTTCCTCATCAGTTCGTGGGCCTTCTTCTGATTGGCTGCTGGTGAGGTCACTGGGCGTCAACATCATCCACCTCGTTCCAACCAGCTTGTGGGCAGCTTATGGTTAACTTCTTCCACTTGGTGGGGGTGTCAGTATCTGCAAAACGGCTCAGAGGACAGGCTCAGATTACCTACAGTCCTTGTAGTGTAGTAGTGTTGGTCGCTCAGTCGTGTCCAACTCTTTGTGACCCCATGGACTGTAGCCTGTCAGGCTCCTCTGTCTATGAGATTCTCCAGGCAAGAATTCTGGAGTGGGTTGCCATTCCCTTCTCCAGAGGATCTTCCTGACCCAAGGATCAAAGCCAGGTCTCCTGTGTCGCAGGTAGATTCTTTACCGTTTGAGCTACAGGGAAGACCCTTTAGTCCTTGAGGAGGAACTAAAGTTCATTGACCTTATATGTCTAAACTAGTATTATTTGGTCTTGTTGGACTGTTTTCCCTTCCTGCATTTTCTTCCTTCTCTGACTGAATCCATTCTTTGGGACTCGGGAAGGCATAAGAGGCTAAAAGTCTACAAACAAGAGGCAGACAGAAGACACAGTGCGGAGGGGTCTGTCCCAGAAGAGTCCCTAGGGTCCTGTTACACACAGCTCCCCACTCGTCCACCACATCCCACCTCCACCAAGAAAATTAAAAGCCTGAACACCCACCTTGGGCGAGGCGCCCTTTGCCCCCCAGTGTCCTTAGCTCGGGCCCTGTGACTCCGCGTACCTGTGCTATGAGATGAGCAACTGCCCGTCCTCTGGTCTCTGTGAGTGGCCTAAGCCTCTGTGCACACCTGTAACCCGGCCGGCTGGCCCTGGCCTTGGATGGAGGGTGCGTGCCCTCCTTCCACCCTGCACTCCTCCTCACAGTCTGAGCCCCAGGCAGGGCCGGGGGGCCCCTTCTGCCTTCCCTGAATATACTCTTTGGCTCCCTAGGGCCGGATCTTAAAGTTCACTCTTTTTCAAAAAATGTTTTTCATTTGGCTGTGTTGGCTCTTAGCTGCAGCACACAGGATCTCTTGCACCAGACGGGATCTTTTGTTTCAGTGCACGGACTCGAGTTGTGGGGCGAGGACTCCGGAATACGTGAGCTTGAGTAGTTGAGTGTGTGCACTTAGCTGTGCCCTGGCATTTGGAATCTTAGTTCCCTGACCCGGGATCAGACTCACACCCTCTGCATTGCCAGGTGGATTCTTAACCACTGGGCCCCCAGGGAGGTCCCTCACTCCTTTCAGCTTTAAAGCTCTTTATCCTTTCTGGAGGGCTTTTCTAAATCCAGCACTCATTGCCCCACCTCCTTGAGCCTAGTTCACAGACAGCATGACACGCTGGCATAGAGACCCAGCATCCTCCCAGGACTCTCAGCCCTGCCTGGCGAGGAAAGAGCCGGTTACCTGCCCTGATGGTCCAACCACCCTACATTTGAGATGATCTTAAATGAAGGCTGTTCTGTTTATCTCCTTTTTCAGCCTGCCTGCCTGTGGCAGCTCACCACTTACTCCAACCCTAAGCCCAGCCCTACCTCTTCCCCACATTTCAGTTCTGTGTGTCAGAGGCTTACAAGGTCTATGATGTCCCAAGTGCTGAATTAATACAACCTCTCTGAGACGGTGTCTTATTGTTCTGTCTCTCTGTTGTTCAGTCGCCAAGTCATGTCCAACCCTGCGACCCCATGTATTGCCGCACGCCAGGCTTCCCTGTACATCATAACTCCCGCAGTTTACTCAAACTCATGTCCGTTGAGTCAGTGAGCAATCCAAACATCATCTCATCCTCTGTCGTCCCCTTCTCCTCCTGCCTTCAATCTTTTCCAGCATCAGGGTCTTTTCTAATGAGTCAGCTCTTCGAATCAAGTGGCCAAAGTATTGGAGCTTCAGCTTCAGCCTCAGTCTTTCCAGTGAATATTCAGGAGTGATTTCCTTTAGGATAGACTGCTTTGCTCTCCTTGCAGTCAAAGGGACACTCAAGAGTTTTCTCCAGCACCACAGTTTGAAAGCCTCGATTCTTTGGCGCTCAGCCTTCTTTATGGTTCAACTATCACATTCGTACATGACTACCACAAAAACCATAGCAGTGACTATTACGGACCTTTGTTGGCAAAGTGACATTTCTGCTTTTTAATATGCTGTCTAGGTTTGTCATAGCTTTTCGTCCAAGGAGCAAGCGTCTTTTAATTTCATGGCTGCAGTCACCATCTGCAGTGATTTTGGAGCCCAAGAAAAGGAAATCTGCCGCTGTTTCTACTTTTGTTCATCTATTTGCCATAAAGTGATGGGACCAGGTGCCGTGATCTTAATTTTTTGAATGTTGAGTTTTAAGCCAGCTTTTTCACTCTCATCAAGAGGTTCTTTAGATCCTCTTCACTTGCTGCCATTAAAGTGGTATCATCTGCCTATCTGAGGTTGTTAATATTTCTCTCAGCAGTCTTGATTCCAGCTTGTGATTCATCCAGCTCAACATTTTGCATGATGTACTCTGCCTACAAGTTTAATAAACAGGGTGACAATACACACCTTCACCTTGCACCAGGAATACCACCAATTTAGGGCACCCCTGCTATGTGCCAGGCACTATGCTAAGGTCTTTATAGCCAGGTTCTCATGTAATTCTTAAAACAGCCTTGACATACTCCTTTCCCAATTTTGAACCAGTCTGTTGTTCCATGTTCAACACTATCTGCCCATCTTATAGATAAGAAAATTGGGGGTCATAGAAGTGCTGTGACTTGCCTACTGCAACTATACTAGTTTGCTTGGGCTGACATAAGGAAGTACCATCAACTGGGTGGCTTAAAAGTTACTTTCCCATAGTTCTGGAGTCTAGAAGTCCCAGACTGGGGTGTTGGTATGTTTGGTTTCTTCCTTTTCTCTTGTTTGGTTTGGTCTCTCCTGGAGCCTCCCTCCTCGCTTGCAGGTGGCTGCCTTCTCCTGAGTTGCGCCTTTCCTGTGTGTGTGTGCGTCCCTGGTGTCTCTTGTGTGTCCAAATTTCCTCTTCTCTTAAGGACACCACTTAGGTTGGATTAATGGGCTCATTTTAACATAATCACCTTTTTAAAGGCATTATCTCCAAATACAGTCACATTCTAAGACAAGTAGGGGTGGGCAGGGCGGGTGTCAAGGCTTGAATATATGAATGTAGGCAGAGAGCACAGTGTAGCATGTGTAACAGCAACCCTGATTCTCAGCAGATGGTGGAGCCCGTCTCATCACTAGGCCTGTTGATTCTCACCTGGATTGTGCTGTGAGCTGTGAAACCAGCCCCACCCTTGTTAGGACCAGGACATAACTTTTCTATCAGTTGACGCTGCTCTGGGACTTGAGAGAGTCCTGGGACTGAGAAACATCCTTCTGGATCCTCTGCTCTGGTCCAGACAAATGAAGTTATCTTCGAGGCTGTGCTTAGTTGCTCGGTCCTGTCCAACTCTTGGTGACCCCATGGACTGTAGCCCACCCGGCTCCTCTGTCCATGGGGATTCTCCAAGCAAGGATACTGGAGTGGGTTGCCATGCCCTCCTCCAGGGGATATTCCCAACCCAGGGATTAAACCCAGGTTTCCCACATTGCAGGTGGATTCTTTACCATCTGAGCCACCAGGGAAGCCCATCTTAGAAGCTATGTCCATCCAGATAAGTAACGGTTATTGCCAGTTGCTAAGCCGTGTCCAACTTTTTGTGACCTCATGGACTGCAGCACGCGTCTTCCTTGTCCTTCACTATCTCCCAAAGTTTGCTCAGATTCATGTCCATTGAGTTGATGCCATCTAACCATCTCATCAGCTGCCACCCTCTTCTTTTGCTTTCAGTGTTTCCCACAGCAGGGTCATTTCCAATGAGTTGGCTCTCTGCATCAGGTGGCCCAAGTACTGGAACTTCAGCTTAGATATGTAACTGCAGAGCCCCAAAGCCAAGGCACAGACTCAGAGTCAAAAAGATCTGTCTGGTGCTGTAACCTCTGAGCCTCAGTTTCCCCATTGGTACAAGGAAATAGCATTCTACTATTAAGAGTTTGTTGTAAGAATTACGTGAGAACCTGGCTGTGAAGAACTTAGCATACTGCCTGGCACACGGCAGGGGTGCCCTGAGTGGGTGTGCTCCTGGTGCCGGGGAAGACGCCTGCTGCGCCCATGGTCTGACCTTGTACTAGAGAGTAAGGTGCGTCTGCAGACCCTACTCCTCTGCATTTCACCCTTGTGGTTAACTCATCTCTCCACTCAGCCATGAGGTAGAGGAGGCTTGCCCAGGCATGCGTTGAGAGGATGGGATGCATGTTAGAGACAGGAAATGACCACACCCCACCCACCCCAGCCTTCCACAGCTACTTTGAGATCTTCAACGGTCATGGCGAGGTGGACGCGCAGAGCCTGGAGAACATCCTACTTCTTGTGGGCATCTCCCTGACGCCGGCCCAGGTGGAGGGTGCCCTGAGGAGCGCTGACATCGACGGTGAGTGCGGGGAGGCTTCGTCCTGAGCCCTGGCAGGATCAGGCTTGCCGGCAGCGTGAGACCTGTGCAGTCACACAGGGCTCTGTGACAGGGTCTTGACTTTGGTTCACCGCTTTGCTGTTGTGGTCTAGAAATTCTTGATAATTTTTGAACGAGGGGCCCTGTTCAGCATTCCTTTTTTTTTTTTTTTGATTGCACTGGACCCTCATTCTCTAGTCACAGTGCTTGTGGGCTTCTCTTGTTGTGGAGCGTGGGCTTAGTTGCCCTGCCGCGTGTGGGATCCTAGGTCTCCGACCAGGGATGGAACCTGAGGCTCCTGCATTAGAAGGCGGGTTCTTAACCACTGGACCACCAGGAAAGTGCTACATTTTCATTTTGCTCTGGGCAAATGCAGATAATACAGCTGGTTCTGGCTCCCAAAGTTAGTGATTCCTGAGGACCTACTCAGTGCCAGGTTCTGGGGACCCAGAGATGACCAAGACCTAGTTCCTGACCCTAACATGTAGGTTATCTCTTGAGAACACTCCTCCAGGACATTACATGTGCTCCATCCGACATTCCTCCGTGACCTGGTCCCTCGTTTTACCAGCTCTATGGCCTGGGACGGGTCACTGAAGTTCATCACGTCTCAGTTTCCCCGCCTGTAAAATGGGGCTCACAGCAGTTAACCATCTCACTGAGCTGCTGAAAAGATCGAATGAGGTAATCCAGGCAAAGCACTGAGCACAACGCGTAGTGCACAGGCTGCATCCAGGAGATGCTAGCTGCTGCTCTCATCTGTTCTCTAAATATGTTTTAGCTGGCTGCGGTGTGCCCGTTCCTGTGCTGGGCACTGGAATAAAGGGATGTGTGAGACCTCTGAGATCTGCCCTCGAGATGCTCTCACAGTCAATGACACAGAAGGAACAGTTACCAAAGGCAGCAGTGCTTAAGGTGGCTTGGAGGAAGGGATGAGGGAGGAAGGCCTCCTGGAGGAGGTGATGCCTGAGCCAAATGGTGAAAGATTAAGCAGGAGTTAGGCAGGAAGAGAAGGAGGAAGAAGGGCATTCCTGGTGGCAGAAATAGCTTCCACACCGGGCATAGGGCACAGAGTGAGGAGCACTGTCCCAGCATGTGGTTTTGTTGACTAGATGCAGGGAACGCAGCGGAGCGGTGGGGGCCTGGGCTCCTGACCCGAGTGTCAGCTCTGCTTCCTGCATCACTGTGGGAGGGTGAGTCCTCACTCAAGCTAGGCTAGGCACTGGCCTCAGTTTGGCCCTTGGGTGATCCCAGGCAATAGCCTGTTTTTGTCTGTGCCCCGGGCCTCATCTATGACAGGGGATTAGAATATTAGTGCCTGCCGCTCCCTGCCCCCCACCCCGAGGATGACTTTAGGGATTAGGGACCATTCATTAATTTGTCAAGTAGTTGAAAGAACTGGCATCTGGTCCCATCTCTTCATGGCAAATAGAAGAGGGAAAAGTGGAAAGCAGTGACGGATTTTATTTTCTTGGGCTCCAAAATCACTGTGGATGGTGACTGCGGCCATGAGATTAAAAGATGCTTGCCCCTTTAAAAGAAGGAAAGCTATGACAAACCTAGACAGCATATTAAAAAGCAGAGACATTGCTTTGCCAACAAAGGTCCATATAGTCAAAGCTGTGGTTTTTCCAGTAGTCATGTATGGATGTGAGAGTTGAACCATAAAGAAGACTGAGTGCCAAAGAACCGATGCTTTCAAATTGTGGTGCTGGAGAAGACTCTTGAGAGTCCCTTGGACTGCAAAGAGATTAAACCAGTCCATCCTAAAGGAAATCAACCCTGAATATTCATTGGAAGGACTGATGTTGAAGCTGAAGCTCCAATACTTTGGCCACCTGATGTGAAGAGCTGACTCTATGGAAAAGACCCTGATACTGGGAAAGGTAGAAGGCAGGAGGAGAAGGGGACAACAGAGGATGAGATGGTTGGATGGCATCACTGACTCAATGGACCTAAATTTGAGTAAATTTCAGGATCTAGTGAAGGACAAGGGAGACTCGTGTGCTGCAGTCCATGGGGTCACAAAGGGCTGGACACACCTTAGCAACTGAACGGTAATAACAAAGTTGAGAGAGCATGTCCCAAGCACCTCCTGGTTTTAAGTCCTGAGGATACAATACAGGATAAAACACCCAGTCCCTGCCTACCAGAGCTTCCGTCAAACCCCAAGTCTTATGAGTGTGTGGTTGAAATACAAGTGTTTTATGAGAATGTTCAACTGGGAGTCTGACCTACACTGGTCTGACTTCCCTCAGGAAGTGGTGGTCAAAGGAAGCATTAAGGGAAAGAGTTGGAGGGAATTCCCTGGTGGTCCGGTGGTGAGGACTTGGCACTTTTACTTCTGGGGTCGGAGTTCAATCTGTGGGTGCAGAACTAAGGTCCTGCAAGCTGCATCGCATGGCCACAAGAAAGAAAAACAAATAAGAAATGAAGAGTTAGCGTGTGGTGGAGAGAATTCTGAGACGAGAAGGCAGCGCATACAGAGGTGTGTATAGAGGCCCGGAGCAGGGGAAGAGGGGACCCGGTGGGAGCAGGTTGATGCTGAGGGAGTTCGGTACCTGGCGAGGCTGCAGACAGCTGGCAGGCAGGTCCCGCAGACCTTTGAAGGCCCAAGTGGGAGCTCTGTAGGTAAAGATGTGTGCTCATGCAAGACTCACACGCTGTAATAAGCATGGCCAGCATTTGCTGAGCATGTGTTTGTGTGCATGGCCCTCTTCTGAGTGCATTGCCTCCATTTCTCTCCCTTGAGAAAGGCGTTATGGTCATCCTCACCCTATTAGACAAGAAAACTAAGGCTTAGTTGGGCTAAGAGACTTGGCCAGGGTCACAGAGATAGTGAGTGACATGAGCCCAAACTGCTGCTTCTAGAACCTTCTGGGAGCCTCTAACCCAGGAGATTTTAATTTTTTTCCTTCTACTTTCCTATGTGTCCCGCACTTTCTACATCCACTATGTGTTACTTTTATAATCAAATCCAACAAGTAAATGCTAATAGCCATGCCTGGGTTGCAGTGTCCGAGCCTGCTCTGGAAGGCCCCTGCCAACTCTGTATTCTTCTGGCCTCCACAGGAGATGGTCGTGTGAACTTCAAAGACTTCTTGACCGTGATGACAGACACCAGGCGCTTCTTCTGCTCTGTGGGTGAGCAGCGGTGAGCCCAGGGCACTCAGAACGGGGGCGCGGGCGGGGCATCCCGGGGTGCCAGATGGTAACGGCAGCCACCATCCCATGTCCCCAGAACAGAACACCCTGATGGACACTTCTCCTCCAAACCCCCATACTCTGTTCTTTGAGATCCTGTCCCTGCTGGTTGAGATGCTGGCCTTACCCGAGCGAGCCTTAGAGGAGATCACCAGGTGAGTAGGTCTGGTCGTTGTGGCTGGAGGGTTGTGGACACAGAAACAGCACCTAGCCTTTTGGCGGAGGAGGATTTTGGATAGTTAGGACTCTTAGTTGCAAGTGAAACACACATAAAATTGGCTTATGCAAAAGGGGAACGTATCGGCTCACATCACTGCTCAGGGCTTCAGGAATGGCTGGATCCAGGAGACCAGCTGATACCATTCAGGCTTTATTTCTCCTGCTCATCTCCGCATTGGCTTCAAGCTCAGCTAGGCTCTTCCCACAGTGAGAAGGATGGCAACTGGCAGCCCTTACTCATACCCTCCTTGTTTTGCAACTTCAGCAGCAAGAGGAATGGAATACCTTCTTGCAGTACGCATATAGCAATCCCAGAAAGAAAATGTGACAGAGCCTGTTTGGGCTGGACAACATGGGATGGAAGACTCCCCACATTTCCAGAATGGGCTGGTGGGTGGTCCTTCTCATCTAAGAAAGAGATGGCTGTGTACAAAAAATGACATGAACACTTGAGGGCTAGAAGCAAAGGGTCACTCTTACAGCGCACAGAGGCTTGTCTCTGTTGTTCAGAAAGGTGGATCATTTTTTCCTACCACAGACCAGGCCTTTTCCAAAGAAGCCAGAAGAGGGGGAATGATTACATGTGTTTCAGCAACACCAACTTAGCAAACCCCAGAGACAAGAGATCTGTCTTCCTCCTAGCATCTCTAAATTGCTAAACATATACAGCCCTGAAGATGGCAAATGTATAATTTAAAAAGCAATAAAACAAATTGCCATGTATCCATTTCTTCTGTTTAGAAACAGATAATTTCCAGTCATCTTGAAGCCCCTGAGTGCCCTACCCTAACCACAGAGTACTTTCTCATAACAAGAACCAACCCTTATCATTTGCTTTTTGTTTTAAAATCTCCCTGCTTATTTTTCCCCATGTCATTCATTGAAAATTTCAAATGGATGGTAAAATTAAAAGAATTTTACAGTAAACAGTTATATGCCCACCACCTAGATTCTACTGTTGCCATTTTGCCATTCTTTTACCTATCCATCCCTCTATTCTTCAATCTGTATTATTTTTTATTCATTTTATAGTAGATTGTAGTCATTTCCCTCTAAATATGTCAGTATTTTGGGCTGGGCAAAAAGTTTGTTTGGGTTTTTCATAACATCTTAATGAAAAACTTGAACGTACTTTTTGACTAACCCAATACACATCATGAGCTAATGATCAATATTTGTATAGAACTTCCGCACCCCCATCTTTTGAGATTCATATAATGTACATTTGGTGAAATGCACAGATCTTAAGTGTATCATTTAGTGAGTCTCAACAAATTCCCACACCCCAGCAACCTGAGCCCCTGTCAAGTTATACAGAATTTTACTATCATTCCAGAAAGCGCCCTCATGACCCTTCCCAGCTGGTCCCTGAAACGACACTTCTTTTAATTTTTTTTCATCACAGATTGGTTTTGTCTGTCTTATAACTTCATATAAATGGAAACAGAGTACAGTCTTTAGTGTCCAGCTTCCTTCACTCAGCATAATGCTTTCTCCCCCAAACTTTAATATTTTAAAAAAATCTTGTTTATTTACTTGGCTGTGTCAGCTCTGAGTTGCGATGTGCAGGATCTTGTGTTGCGGTGTGCGAGCTCAGAAGGCGCAGTGCAGCCTGACTGTGCGTGCGTGTGGGCTCAGTTGCTCCAGTCGTGTCCGACTCCCTGTGACGACATGGACTGTAGCTGCTGCTCCTCTGTCCCTGGGATTCTCCAGGCAAGAACACTGGAGTGGGTTGCCATGCCCTCCTCCAGGGGATTTTCCCTACCCAGAGATCAAACCCATGTCTCCTGCATTGCAGGTGGATTCTGAGTGGATACCCACTGAGCAACCTGGGAACCCATGACTGTATCACAGTATAACCTATTTGTTCAGCAGATGGACATTAGGTCTATGTTCAGTTTCCAGCCATGGTAGAAACAGTGTGAATATTTTGTATCTGTCTCCTGAGACACCTGGGCAAGAGTTTCTTCAGAGCTGTAGTTTTGAAATTTTTTGATCTAAGAAATCTGTTAGTATTTTTTATATTTGAATTTAAGACTGAGAGATCTAAAAAATAAATATCTATTTATTTAACAAAGATAAGGTATGTGACATTGTACAGGAGACAGGGATCAAGACCATCCCCAAGAAAAAGAAATGCAAAAAGGCAAAATGGCTGTCTGAGGAGGCCTTACAAATAGCTGAGAAAAGCAAAGGAGAAAAGGAAAGATATAAGCATTTGAATGCAGAATTCCAAAGACTAGCAAGGAGAGATAAGAAAGCCTTCCTCAGGGATAAATGCAAAGAAATAGAGGAAAACAATAAAATGGGAAAGACTAGAGATTTCTTCAAAAAAAATTAGAGATAACAAGGGAACAGTTCATGCAAAGATGGACATAATAAAGGACAGAAATGGTATGGACCTAACAGAAGCAGAAGATATTAAGAAGAGGTGGCAAGAATACACAGAAGAACTGTACAAAAAAGATCTTCACGACCCAGATAATCACGATGATGTGATCACTCACACTCACCTAGAGCCAGACATCCTGGAATGTGAAGTCAGGTGGGCCTGAGGAAGCATCACTATGAACAAAGCTAGTGGAGGTGATGGAATTCCAGCTGAGCTATTTCAAATCCTAAAAGATGATGCTGTGAAAGTGCTGCACTCAATATGCCAGCAAATTTAGAAATGTCAGCAGTGGCCATAGGACTGGAAAAGGTCAGTTTTCATTCCAATCCCAAAGAAAGTCAATGCCAAAGAATACTCAAACTACCGCACAATTGCACTCATCTCATACGCTAGTAAAGTAATGCTCAAAATTCTCCAAGCCAGGTTTCAGCAACCGTGAACTTCCAGATGTTCAAGCTCGTTTTATAAAAGGCAGAGGAACCAGAGATCAAATTACCAACATTCACTGGATCACTGAAAAAGCAAGAGAGTTCCAGAAAAATATCTACTTCTGCTTTATTGAGTATGCCAAAGCTTTTGACTGTGTGGATCACAATAAACTGTGGAAAATTCTGAAAGTGATGGGAATACCAGACCACCTGACCTGCCTCTTGAGAAATGTGTATGCACATTAGGAAGCAACAGTTAGAACCAGACATGGAACCACAGACTGGTTCCAAATAGGAAAAGGAGTACGTCAAGGCTGTATATTGTCACCCTGCTTATTTAACTTATATACAGAGTACATCATGAGAAATGCTGGGCTGAATGAAGCACAAGCTGGAATCAAGATTGCCGGGAGAAATATCAATAACCTCAGATATGCAGATATGGCAGAAAGTAAAGAACTAAAGAGCTTCTTGATGAAAGTGAAAGAGGAGAGTGAAAAAGTTGGCTTAAAGCTCAACATTCAGAAAACTAAGATCATGGCATCTGGTCCCATCAATTCATGGCAAATAGATGGGGAAACAGTGGAAACAGTGGCTGACTTTATTTTCTTGGGCTCCAAAATCACTGCAGATAGTGACAGCAGCCATGAAATTAAAAGACACTTATGCCTTGGAAGGAAAGTTATGACCAACCTAGATAGCATATTAAAAAGCAGAGACATTACTTTGCCAACAAAGGTCCGTCTAGTCAAGGCTATGGTTTTTCCAGTAGTCATGTATGGATGTGAGCATTGGACTATAAAGAAAGCTGAGTGCTGAAGAATTGATGCTTTTGAACTGTGGTGTTGGAGAAGACTCTTGAGAGTCCCTTGGAGTGCAAGGAGATCCAGCCAGTCGATCCTAAAGGAGATCAGTCCTGGATGTTCATTGGAAGGACTGATGCTGAAGCTGAAACTGCACTACTTTGTCCACCTGACGCGAAGAACTGACTCACTAGAAAAGACCCTGATGCTGGGAAAGATTGAGGGCAGGAGGAGAAGGGGACGACAGAGGATGAGATGGTTGGATGGCATCACCGACTCAATGGACATGGGTTTGGGTGGACTCTGGGAGTTGGTGATGGACAGGGTCGCAAAGAGTCGGACACGACTGAGCGACTGAACTGAACTGAACTGAACCTCATTACATGATAATCAAAAACATTTTAAATAAAAAAATAACAATACTTTCCAAAACAAACAAAAAAGTTAATGAGAAGAATGTCATTGCTTTACAGTATCGAGAATCTCTTCAGTGTCTATAAAAGGTGAAAGATTTATACGATCTGAAGAGAAACCAGAGTATAAGTTGGCTGGATTTTCATATCTGCTTCTGCATTCAATCTGTTGCAATCTGTTTTTTCAGTTAAAGAATGAAGAAATCAGGTATCACACAAATATGTAATTGGAAAAAGTATTTTAATAGTCTTTTCATTTAATAGCCACATATCATGGAGATTATTGTTTTGTTTTTTACTTTTTGGAGCAAGCATTTAATGAGGGACATTTCTTTGAAAACAAAAGAGAAACAGAGGTTAATGGGAACAAATTGTCAACTCAGTTTTTGAGTCCAGAGGGCAGTAATTTCGAGGATTCTTAAGTGTCAGGCTCAAAGCATCTTTAGATGGGGTGAGAGAATTCCCTGGTGGTCCAGTGGCTGAGACTCTGTACTCCACTGCAGGGGCATAAGTTCAATTCCTGGTTGTGGGACCTGGGATCCTGCGAGCCCTGAGGCTCAGCCAAAAAAAAAAGGATGGTGGAACAAGGCTCACTGGCGGCTCTCAGGAATTTTCTGGCTTGCAGTTCAAATGTCTTTGGTGATGGCTTCGGGTGTTTCGGTGAACTAACAGCAGCAGGCATTCAGGTTTTTATACATAATCTGTTATGATGTTTTCCTTTTGAAGTTTGTGTTAAGTTGCTTTATCTTGCAGGGCACTGGGGGAAAGGGCTGTCCTAGTTTTTAGTGATGCCAGCTCAGGAGGGTGGGAGGCAGATGAGCTTACAGATAAGATATACAAAATGGCAGGAGGCAGTTTATACAGAGGACAAAAGGCTCAAAGTAAGTGAACTGTCCTGCA